TTTCAATGCCCCGCCGGCACCAACGAAATTGATGATTGCAATTTTTAGTGCAGATTTACTTCGTGCTTGGTCGTGAAGATAAGCATGCATTTACTTGCATGTTGAAGAGTTAGAAAACATTTTGAGGACATGTAGGATCCGCCATCATGCGTTAGGTCAGATCGGACGACTTTTACCTGCCTGAAAACCTTCTCTGTAATAAGAGGATGCCTGTGCCGAGCAGCGGGACGTATATAAGCTATTACTTTTATTAGCTCTGAGGAGGCTTTCATAGTTTTTATCCTAATAACCTTGCATTTGTAATATTTTCGGAGGTATTAAGACATGACCGACCTGTATATCATTAGGTACTTACGAACATAAAACATACAATATTAAGAAATAAAAATAATACAGCCACTATTTTTATTCGCCAATCAATAAGGTCACTATTATAGATGGAATATCAGCAACAACCATTATTCCGTAAATTAACCGCTCAATCCCCTAGCGGTCTCATGAGACCGCGGCCATATTAGGTCAAATCCTAATATGGCCTATATACACCTAGCGGTCTCATGAGACCGCACCCACCCACAGCACTACAACCCATAAAAACTACTTTTCTATGAAGAAGTTTGGCATTATAGAATCAATATGAAATTTTCTATCCTCTAGTTGAGTAAAAATTTAGTTAGTCTATAGATATTCATTTATAATCTACATTCAGAGTGCGTCATTGTCGAATGTTCGTTGTTGTACATTTTTGTTTTTTTTTTTTTTTTTATATTTTAGTGTTTTTTTTTTTTTTTTTTTATATATATATATTTTTTATATATATAAGAGGGGGCAAACGAGCATGTGGCTCACCTGATGTTAAGTGACTACCGCCGCCCATGATCAACTGCAACACCAGGGGAATTGCAGACGCGTTGCCGGCCCTTTAGAAAGGAGTAAGCTCTTTTCTTGAAGGTCCCCAGGTCGTATCGGTCCGGAAAAATCGCTGGTGGTAAATTATTCCACAGAGAGGTTGTACGCGGAAGAAAACTCCTTTTGAAACGTACAGTGGTGGACCGCCAAGCATCCAGATGGTGTGGATGGTATCGGGACGTTTGCCGCGTAGTGCGTTCACGAAATTTGGCGGCTGGGATTAATCCGAACAATTCCTCAGAGCACTCTCCATGGTATATGCGAAAGAAAATGCAAAGGGATGCAACATCTCTTCGCAGTGCCAGAGAATCGAGCCGATCGGAAAGCACTCGGTCGTCGACGATTCGAGCCGCTCTGCGCTGGATGTGGTCAAGTGGAAGGAGCTGGTACTGGGGAGCCCCAGCCCAGAGCCCAGCAACATTGTTGCGGTGATGATTTTTGGATTTTCTAAGTTAAAATTAGTCCATGAAATTATTTTTTCAAAATAAATAGAATGAGTATTTCGCAATGAAGCAATTCTAAAAACCTGAATAATAAGTTATTTAACAGTAACAGGTTTCACAAAAATATTAGAAAGTGTTAATACTAAGTACAAGAAAATAGTGTTTTGGAAAAACATCTTTATTTTTCATTTGTTTATTTATTAAACTTTTAACGTTACCTTGTGCTTATCCTAAGCACAAGTTAACAGTTTAATAAAATAAAATTTGTACTTGTTGTGGACCTTTTTTGTGATTTGGATAGACATTTCTTCACTAATATTTATATAATGATACCGTGACGTTGTGAGGCGAAACCACGACGGTTTTTACTGAAACAAAAATAAATATTAGTGAAACTAATGAACGTGTTTACCCTAAAAAAATAATGATATGATCACAGTTTTAAGAGACTTAAAACTGTGATATTATTTACGAAATGGTCTAAAACGTCCTAATTGGGACTTTTACGGACGTCTTTAGTCCGCGTCACGCACAGCAATGAGAAAGACGCTGTATAGAAAATTTTAACAATAATAAAAATAGACGTTGGGAAGTGAAGTCCCCATCGTCCGCTGACGTAACAGTTAAGTGACAAAACTGCTACATCAGCGGAGACAGTCAGTGCTTTGCCAAGAGGTTTATGTGCCATGCCTCGGCAATTGAGGACATTGATTGACAGGCCCGTTTTTGCTTACGGCGGCACCATGAAACGGTGCCAGGTCTGGGTTTCCCTCGTTAATTGACGCCCATATTATGACTGATGGAAATAAATAGAACGCGCATAGGGCCGCTGCCTGGAAATCGTCGCCGGGGCGCGTCCAGAGCTGGCGGTGGACGCTACAGCATGAACTGGAAGCTGGGGCTGCAAGACTAGCTAGCAACCCTTCGAATCCATTATCCCCACCGGATTTTTTGGTGTCAGCAGGGTCCTTTCGGATTCGGTAAGCAGTCACTGGTGACATGCATTGTACAAAGAATATGAACACAAACGCATAACGGGCGTACTTAAGGGCGTAAGCGGAAGAAAATGGGGTATGGTATCGGGCTCGAATACTTGTCGCTTCTTTGCTGAGCTGGAGCGATCTTTTCCCGTCACGCAGCAAAACCTGGCAGAGTGAGTTCGGTACATCATGCACTCAAAAATATTGGATGATACCGAATTCGAAGGCTACGACGTGAGGCTATTCCCTCTTAGAATGAACCGACTATGACTGTGGATGCTGCTCCACAAGCTACTACTGTGGATGCTGTCGTAGATTCCCCGGTTAGGTTGATTCGTAAGAAGATGGAATAGTCGACCAGGAATTAGAGCAAATAAGAAGCATATTGGAATAGGCGATTCGAAACGCGCACTACGCCTCTCGAGAATCGACTGTGACTTCCCAGCGGAATCGTGCTGTCGTGATCTCTCTCGTGAAGACTCTAAGCTCTATGCTGGTGACTTATTTGGAAGCCAGCCGGGACCTTTGCGAAACAGACTCAATTCTATTTGGCACCACACTGGCAGTATGTCGTATTATTGGCGCCAAGCTTCCCAAGGCTGAATGTGCTACTAGACAAAGTAGCATCATCCTAGCCTGGTGAATAAGATTTGACGATCTTATCGCAAAAGCTAGGGCCCTTATCGGCAGACTGATAAGGTTTAGGTCGGGCAATAACAGGCTAAGAATTGGACGCACTGACAGGGTGGCGTTTGCTGGGACAAATGTTAGTTTGTCCCAGCAGGATATAACGGCGGGACAAACTAACATGTCCCAGCAAACGCATGGACGATATGAATCAGAGAATCGCTGTTTGGGGGAAGTGGTTTTACCAAAATCGTCTCTTCCAGAGTGATCTGAAGAGGCTGCACAAATCATTGAAGCGACCAATGCTACGTGGAACGCTCCCAGCACCGAATCAGGTGATATAGTGAATAGATGTCGGGCGATGGTCGTGGAACTAAGGAACCACTCCTCATTAACGCAGTCATTGGCAAAATGGTTCAGCGCAACCGGCCAAACTTCTCCGCCGCCTGGACAGACTACAGTATAAGGCATTCGACTCGGTGTCCCATAAACGGCAAAAGAGGGTCCTCAAGCTGTACAAGGTTGACTATACAGTTAGACTTCTTCGGGCAGTGTATGGGGCAATGGAGAACGATCCTTTGTCATCTAGGTGAGCGGATGACGGCTGCGGAGAACCACATTAGGATAAGAAGGGATATCTTCCAGGGCAACTCTTTGAGTCCAATCTGGTTCTGCCTCTCTCTGAACCCTCTCAGTACCTTACCAGAGGGCTCCAGGAGGGAATTTCAACTTCGGAAAAGAGGTATAAAAGTGACCCAATTTTTCTATAAGGATGATCTCAAATGATTCGACACCAGTCGCTCCCATCTCGTGGAATTGCTAAACGTCACTTGTGATTTTAGCAATTCTATTAGAATTCATCTGGGGACGAATAAAGTCGAGATGGGTAGGGTAGTCAACTCTGAAGGCATGGACTTATCTATACCCACCATCATAAGGACCTTTTCTGAGGCTGAAACGTACCGATACCTGGGTATGTCATAAAATATGGGTATTGATGAGACGGACATGAAATAATCAGTTTGCTATCTGTTTCATGCACGCTTGACGTTGTTTAATAGCCTTTTGCCGGGCGTGAATAAGACACAGGCAAATAACGATTGGGTAATGTCTGTCCTTATGTATACCTTTGGCATTGTCAAGTGGATTCAAACGGGCTTAACACCCTGGATAGAAAAGTCCGCACTACCACGATGTGCCATAGCATACACCATCTGAGATCTTCAGTAACGAGGCTGTACTTGCCGCAGAATTAATGTATATATAATGTATATATATTATGTATATTTATCATTTCATTGTATGTATTTTATTCAGCCCAATCAGATAATAATACTCTATAAATACCCCAAAATAAAAATGCCATCTAATATATTTAAAAGGTGGACCAATTACGATTCTAAAGTTAACAAAACACAAGGAATCTCATATCACGTGTAGGTATTCAATATACTTCGATTTATTAGTATATTCCAAATATTTTCCTACAATTTTAATTTGTGGAGGTTAGAAAAAAAACTTGTGTAGCATTTATTTACACTTGTGACAAACACTAGCTGTCCACTTTTTTATTATTTTAATCACGCCATTCTGAGAATGTATGTCACAGTGTAACACTTTTTTCGGTGATTTTGTTATATTCATGTAAATGAAAAATTTTACATCTATATATTATATTATTGTGTTTATCAGAATCACAATAATTTAACAAAATATTCTATTTATTAAAAAAAAACAATTTCAATTTAAAGCGTGTATTTTAATAATACTTTCAAACGTAAGGTTACAGCATTCAACGGTTTACAAGAATAAGGGACTTACATTAAGTTCATGTTGTTCAAGTTCAAGGAAAATCTTTTAGGATTTAAAACTATAAAATCTTAATACTATAATAAGTACAGACTAAGCTAATATACCTATATGTAAGAAACCACCCATGATTTTCGATATTTTTTTCCAACAAAAAGGAAGTGCTAAGCACAAAGTAAACAAGTACTTAATGATTGTAAAAATCTTATTTCTGCTTGATGGCGTGTACAGCTCAGTTGTTTTCCTCCAAGTCCTGTAAAAATATACACTATTTTATAAAATCTAATCCAAATTTCTTCTGAACAACGAAGTGTCTGTAGGAAAATTAATGGAGGTATTCTAGCGACCAACTACACTGTCACGTGGTGTACCTACACATTATAATTACTTCGGAAATTTACTTGGCAAAACACTATCACATAGTTTAACAAACCTAATTATCACTTAACATACATATTTAATTTTATTTATTTACTTGACCGATACAACTCATTCTAAATAAATGTTACAATAAACACAGCTTGTTTGTGTTTAGTAATTTGAGTGCACCTCATTGTTATTTTATAAGTAATGATAGAGCTTTATGTTTGTACAAAGAACGAATGAATGACGGAAGTCTTTAATGATCTTTTAATTATTAGAATATGCATGTAAATATTGCTAGAGAAATACGAAGAAAATTTATCATAATTTTAAAAATAAACCAAGTAACTCACTTGTTTCCATTTTGTTGTATTCTATATATTTTCTACATTCTTTCATTATGTTCAATATCTCTTATTTGAATATAGGTGCGAAGTTTAGCGAATCCGGGTATTGGCCGTCTAATTTAAAACTTGTATTTTTGGTAAATTTTGTCTCATTTACCGTAATAATTATCATACAATCTAAATATGCGCAGCCATTCTACTTTGTTTCAGTAGATTTATACATCCTTACATATCTGATATGATCAAAGTGATAAAATTTACCAAAAATAATATACTCTATATATTTCAAAACAAAGTTTTACTGAATATACTAATGATTCAAACCTGAAGATATGTTTACCTAAACGCAATGTTAAGTCAATGACGTCTAACCCAATGCTATTCATGTGACAGCTCATACCACTTCAGGTTTCAAAGATGGTAAATGATTTTTGACCTTTATTATACTTCATAAGAGAAACCACGCGCAATTTAAAGTTGCAGAGTTTTCGCAACGTTAAATCACCACGGTTTGGAAGCAAAGGAAAGCGGAAATCTTCCGCTGTGTTTAAATATTCATTTTCTGGCCACAAGTACTGGAACATACAACCACAAGGTTTGGGTTTGGGAAAACTCGACGAAGCTTTTTAAATAATGAAACAAATCTTTCAATCTAAATAATCCTTTTAAAACTATCTCTATCCAATTTGTCCAAAAAAGTAAATATATACAAATAAAAAAAAACTAGTGTCTGGTTGTAATGTCAAAATAACATATTCTTACTAAATGCATCTGAAAGTACATTTGGTACTATATAACAAAGATATAATTTTAAAAAAAATTGTCTGTTAGTCTGCTTGTTTGTTCCGGCTAATCTCTGAAACGTCTGGACCGATTTTGACGGGACTTCCACTGGCAGATAGCTAATGTTATAAGGAGAAGCTTAGGCTAGTTTTATTTTATAAAAACAATTAGTGTTCCGCGCAAAAAAATCAAAATCCATAAAATCCAACCATAATAAATTCTTACTACTGTTATAGCTAGCTGTTGTATAGTATACTAGCTGTGCCCAGCGACTTCATGCGCGGGGAAACAGCTAGTATACTATATACAATGCCTCACTGTTCAGCCTGTTTGTTGTCTCTTTAATTGAGATTGATTTTTAATTCAAGCACTATATTGGAATTCGTTCAAGTCATTATTCGTTTATGCATTATAAGATATAAATATTTTTAAATACATATAAAATTATGAGATTAAAGATATCTTCACTATATATTTTTCTTGTTTTGTACATAAGTATCGGTCAAATAAATTGCCTACTTCTTATAATACATTATCAAAAAACATACAATACTTAAGAGTTAATACTGACATATTATTATATTAATATTTTTAGCCCACGTGATTGACGTACCATAATGATAACCTTTAATTAAATTAATGATAAATTTCTATGATTACATACATAATATGTGAAATCTAAAAACTACCACGTATAAAGCTAGTGATGGTTGTGATCACGTGATCCGAAAGATATCCAAAAGCAATACCCCCGGGTGTTAGTTAGCGCATGCTTGTGGCGGCTGGATTTTAGTGGCCTTGTTAATATTGTCGTAAAATGTGATGTATTCACTAACAGTGGGATCGCAGTCGGCACAGTGCCACGAGTAGCCGCGTTTCTTCGGATTCTTATTCAGCGGCGGCTCTAAGCAGGTGAAGTGATATCTTTTGTGGCACTCGTCACATCTATGAACAAACAAAACTGATTTATAAACGACGCTTATGTTTTGTAGAGGCCTACCGGAAATGCCTTAATATCTCATGGTCTCCAGTAAATGGCGGTATAACCAAATCGCACATGTTTAAAGTATGAATGAAATTTAAAATCAAGAATGTGAATAGGTTTATGCTGCAAGCAATAGAGGTGAATTCGATAAATTATTTTATCATAATTTCAGCCCTATGATTCAATGGAATATCTGGTATATTTCTATTCACTCAAAATATTCTACTACTACTTCCATTGATATTAAGAACATTTCAATAGGCCATCTAAAATTTTCCCCCTAAAATACCTAGACGCCGGACGGGAAACAGCGTCAAAAGTGGAAGTTTTGGTATAGAGAGGATGAAGAATCTGCTTTCCTAACGTGGTGAATCCTACAATTTGTCTCTCAAATTGGAGAAGCCTATATCTGTGGACTATTGCGGGAATAATGTAAACGCAAATGCAAATGTTTCTCGAGATAAGCCCGGTATTCTTCAAGCCACCGCCATAAAATCTTAGGAAGAGGTAAGTTCAGTCTCCAAACTCATAAACAGGATTACCTAAAACTTTTGACATTATTGTAACCAAATTAATTGATGCTTGTTTCTAAATAACTTACTACCTATGTAGGCTTTTAGCAATCACTTCTGTTCACCGACAACTATAATTATGCTATCAGTAGGTATTTTCCAAAGCCGGATTATTTCAGTTCTTATTTCCTTCATTTCCTTCGCTTTTTATTGAAATCGGATGGCACAGTAACATTGATGAGGTAAGTTTTAATTTTAATTGTATTTATAATTGTACTTTTTATACAATATATTAATTGGTATATATTGTGTAATTGTAATATCCGGTTAAACAGGAATTACCCTCGTCATTACGTTTTCCTTAACTGATGGTTTCAGATATTCTGTCCACCATATTTGATTTCACGAGTGTTATTATGATTAAAGTATTAATATTATATAAAATTATTATTGCTATGTCATAAATCATAATCAATACCATATATCCTATAATTTTACAACATTATTTTAGACCCAACGGTGTCATTTAGAAGCTGATTGCAGATAGAAGATGAATAGAAATCATTCATCCGCCAAAACATGTTGAGATGCAACGCTTTGGTTACATCCATTTAGTCCATATGAAAACAAAATTGTCAGGTTGTCATACATAAGCAAAGAGGAGTTAGATATTAAACTGAGAAATTGTGGCAGATTTACCAGTTTTGTGAGCGTTTAAATACATAATGCACGAGATTACTAGCAAAAATAACAAGAAACCAAAAGTAACAAGTAAAGTGGCACTAGAAGTGAAGTGCCTCGACATTGTGTTTACATCTTATTAAATATTGTATAATCTTTGTTCGCTTTATTTATTATTGAATAAAGTTAATGTGTACAATGAGCACAGTTTTTAATATACCTTATGATGCATACATTACAAACCGTTTTTAACATTATATAGATTGAATAAAAAAACAAATAGAAAACCGAATTTCGAATAGAAGAGAAGTGAAAGTCAGTTCCTTATCATTTTTTATAGAAGGGGTGGGGGGGGGGGGCAAAAGAGCATTCGGCTCACCTGATGGTAAGTGACTACCGCCACAAATTAACAACTGCAAACCCAGGGGAGTTGCAGGTGAGTTGCCGGCCTTTTATAAAGAGTAAACTCTTTTCTTGAAGGTGCCTAAGTCGTATCGGTCGAGAAAAATCGGCGGTGGTAAACGATTCCACAGAGGGGTCATAGGAGGAACAAAACTCTTGGTAAAACGTACAGCCGTGGACCGCCAAGCATTGAGATGTTATGAATTTTGTCATGAGTTTTGTCACGTTGTTTGAAATTTGGCGGCTGGAATTAATCCAAACAATTCCTCAGGTGGTAGATGCGATAGAAAATGCAAAAGGATGCAACATTTCTTCGCAGTGCCAGTGAATCGAGCCGACCGGAGAGGACTCGGTCATCTACGATTCGAGCCGCTCTGTGCTAGATGCGATCTAGTAGAAGGAGCTGGCATTGGGGAGTCTCGACCCAGAGATGGGAACAGTATTCCATGTGTGGTCGTAACTGCGCCTTGTAAAGTTACAGGCGGTGTGGCGGCATAAAATATTGTCCCGCTCTGCTGAGTACGCCAAGCTTTTTAGAGGCCAATTTGGCCTTCTCTTCCAAGTGACCATGAAACGGCACATCATGCGATATGTCAACGCCGAGGATTTCGATATTGACTGAGGCAATAAGGGGACTGAGGAGATACGACAAAGAGGCTCTTTTTAATGGTAAACGCGCAAACTTGTGGGGATTGAACATTGAACTGGACTAGATTTAGTCGCTCCCAATCAGAGACCTTGTTCAGCAAAGACTCGTCGTCAGACACAAGTTTGTTGCGGGGGAAATCATCCATTGTTTACACAGAAAAAAGACAAGGATTTTTTTTGCTAAAAAATTAGTACCTACATGCAAAAGTCATTTCATACCTTTAAATTACATCTAATTTAATAAGCTTGTAATGAGCTATAAAAGCGAAATTAAATTATTATTATTAAGGTACTGGAAAGGAAAACATAAATAGAATAAGTATTTGAGTTTCAAGCAGAAGCAGGTACATATTACATTGTACCTTTTTCAGTACACACGGGAAAAACTAATTTTTAAGAAATCGAAAAATGTTTCTATTAATCTAGAATTTATAGCCACGACAATCAAAAAGAAATAGGTGCTATTTATATTTCTACCCATTACAATATCTACGAGGATGACACTGAAAGTTCTTAGAAAATCAAAAACTGAACAAACTAGTAAGTTATTAGTTTTATTATATCTTTTCATAATAGTGTCCATTTACATCAATACATCGCTGCATCCGATGGAACCACTGAGAAAAGCACTTTGCCCACTCGTCCTTACTTCGACGGCATTTGGAAACGCAGCCACCGCTTCCTCGGCGTCCATAAAACGTTTTCCTCGAAGTTTTTCTTTTATTTTCGGAAATAAATAAAAATCTCAAGGTGCGAGTTCGGGGCTCTAGGGCGGGTGACCCAATAATTCCACGTCTGACGTCGCCAAGTAGTCGATTGTTTGCTTGGCGGTGTGCGACGAGGCGTTGTCGTGATAAAGGAGGATCCTATTGCGAGGTCGTTTCTCCCAAACTTTTTCCAAGACAAGTAGCAAACAATTGTTAGTGTACCACTCTGCAGTAATGACCTGTCCTTCCGAAGAACGAGTCCACCATCTTTTTTCCGACGCTTCAACCTCTTTTCACTTTAGTTGGCAACTCCTCGGAAGGAAACACCCAAACAGCAGACTGTCTCCTAGTTTCAGGATCATCAGAATAAATTGGGCTTTCGTCAACCGTAAGTATGTCGAAAACGGTTTTTGAGTAACCTCCGTTAAATCTTTGAATCATTTCACGACACCAATCAACACGACGGAGTTTTTGGGCCCCTGTCAAAATATGAGGTATCCACCGGGCACAAAGCTTCTTGATTGCTAAATTCTCATGGACGGTTTTGTGCACTTGACACATACCGATGCCTAAGCTTGTCCGAATCTGCTGATAAGTCACTTTTGTCGGTCACTATCCTACGCCGCACAACACTGATGTTATCTTCAGTCGTCGCTGTAGAAGGCCGCCCCTCACGCAGATCATCGGTGAGATTAGTGTGACCACGTTTAAACTTATTAAACCATTTGTAAACAGTGGCACAAGATGGGGCTTCATCGTAAAAGGCCAATCGTAGTCTATCGTAACTTTCTTGTTGATTTAAATGACATCGAATGTCATAAAAAATCGTTGTACAAAAATTTTCTCGCGTCAAATTCATGCTGACGTGACACAGACAATTTTCAATTTGCCGCCAAAGTGTTAACAAATGACAATTTAATAAAATACATACACAATAATATTAGCAGAGTTCCATTTTCAAAATTTGAACTTATTTTTTTATTATATCGTTTACAAGTGGCCAGTCATAAAAACTTTCAGTGTCGCCCTCGTAACGACCCAGGTCATAAATTTAAAGTACTTTAGCAGTCTTGTAGCTATGTATATTACAAAATAAAAAGCATGGGGAGGTTGTATTATTGGCGTAGCTAGCATTATACCAGTATTGGCCCAGGTATGTGCTTTCAATAAAGCAAACCGAGAGATGGGTTACGAAGCTGAGACTTAGCATATTGACGGTGAGATTTCAGCCGATAGGAGTCCGGCTGTGGTGGCAGTGGGAAGGTTTTGAGGATTTTTCCACGATAAAAAAGCTAGCATTATACAAGGCCAAATGTACAGGGGCAATGCGAGCCGCGTCAAGTGATTCCATTAGCTGTGTGTGGCGTTGTGGCAGTGAGGCTCACCGCACTAGGTTGGTGGCGTCGCCGGGCTGAGTGCACACGTCGCAGTGCGTGAGCGGCGCGGGCGCGGCGGCCGGCGCGCCGCCCGAGGCGCGCCGCGCGCGCCCCTCACGCCCCTCGCGACCTTCACGCGAACGCTGCACACACGAACCCGTTCCGTAAGCCGTGCTATACGTCTTTCAACTCTACACATTCCATACGCTATTATTTGTTAAACAAATACTGAACAAGTTAGTTATACCAGTTACTCAACTCCAAGGAGTCAGTTCATGGGGCGATGTATACACCTTTACAACAAAGACCCAGAAAATAGGCAAGCAAAGATTATTTAGTAAGAGTTATTGTACTACTAAAGTGAACTTGATTGATAATAACCCCTGAGAATCTAAAAATGCCATTAAAGGTGCAATTCCGTAGCCGACTGCAGACAACAGCAGCAGACGACGTGTCGCCGCGACGGCAGCAGCCTGTGTCCAGTCTGTTCAGAGTGTTCAGTGGGACATGATGTCTGACGTGTTTGAAATTAGCGATCGTGATTTACTTTTGTATCTTTTGTTAGAAGAGGAAGAAGATGATGATAACTTGCTTTTATTAAACGAGTATAAAGAGAAAAGACACACGACCTATGTCAAAATGCAAAGGAAGTGAGTGAATCTTCCTCGGAATCGGTGCAACTCATTTTTTAAGAAAAATTCAACGTGTTGTCGCTTGGGCGTCGGCGGCTCTACTGATCTGCGGTCGGGCTACAGTGTAGTCTGCCACTAGGCAAACGACGTGTCGCTAGCCACGGAACGTATTTTATAGAACTACATAGAAACCAGTTGTGTCTCGACTACACGTCGCTTGCCGCTGCTGTCTGCAGTCGGCTACGGAATCGTACCTTAATTCGAAATCGGCAGCTATCGGCAACAAGAAACCTACACTTGAAAATCAAAAAGACGGAAACTTTTCTTATGATACTTAATAGTTAAATTAAAAAATATATTTTTTATAAAAACATAACTTAATTGTAAACTAGAGATCCTGAGCAATTCAAAAGTTTAGGTGTAATATTTATAGGTATATTTCCTTGAAGAACTTCGAAAATATCTTAAGTTGAACTTCCATAATGAGTAATCTAATTAATATAAAATTATCGAAGTGCAAAGTTTGGGTGTAATTTTATATACCTAAAATAGATTTTTTTAAATTTTATATCCCCTCCAGAAAATAAAAAAATAACAGATAAAAATAAAACGATCACGCGTACAACACATTACATCTTATTCCTCAAGAATTATATGCGGCCACATCTTGAAAAGTTTTTGTGTACTATTAAGAAAAATAAACGTATTATACACAATGACATATATTACTAGCGTAAGGACCGGGCCGACCGAACAACTAAAACGGACCAATGCGTTGGCCCTAAAACTACAGTTTAGGGCCAACGCGAATCGGTCGACAGAAGTGCGCACGCAGGACAGATTTGCCTGTCACAAAAATGTCTAGTTGCTTGGTAAAAGAATGTAAAAGTTACGATACAAAGATAAAGAAAAACATGGGATATCGTATCATCGGTAAATAACTTTATATTAATTTTGTTACGATTAAATTATTATATAAACTCATTTTTAAAGTTTTATTTTACAGTTAGTTTAGTTATGTTACCAAGATTAGGCCAGGGTTGGATTCAGACCCTAAAAATATTTTACATGGAAAACAAAATTATACCTACTATTTAAAAAAAATTATATCACGTTTGACGTTTCATGTTTCTTTTTTCCCATGTGCCGGGATTTTGGCGTCATGCGTCTAGTTTATCTATACGTTACGTTTTTTGACGGTTTTATTTTTATTTCTGTTTAATTTTTGTCTGAAGAACTTAAGTTAAAATTTGAATATTGGTACCTAATATATTTTATATTCAATAATGGTAAACGAAAAGAGTATAAAAGAAAAGGATCGATCGAGCATCAATTGACCAGAAAGGGAGCTAATTCTAATTTTATTTTAAAAAAATGCGGTACTCATGTACAATACAGAAATTTTCTATATCATAGGGTTAATATTAAAATGTAAAAGGACCCAATAATAATACAAGTCGACCTTTAGGTAAAATTATGGTATTTTCGCTTAGTATTATTACGATATTATGTACTACAAACTATGAAATAATTTAATAAAAAACGACCCTGGTTACGTCGTGTTTTGATATGACGTTTGTATTATGACAGATGCGCTACTTTTCTTGTATGAAAAAGTTATGAGTAAAATATTTAGATTGGCCTATCCTTCCTTTTGAAATCATTGATTATACATAACATACATACATATATATTAGAATCTAAGCTTATACACACACTTTTATAATAGTCTTAAAACAGAGTAATACAACTGCACGTTTACCTTAGGTTTTGTCGACACGGGCACCGTTGATGTTTCCTTTTTCTCCTCCATAACAGTTTGCTTGCATTAAAAATCCATATTTATTTAAACAAAGTACACAAAAATACAAACTTTGTCATCACACTTATACAACCTTATACACGATAAAACTATAATAAATGTAGGGCCTGTACAAAAATTTCTAATTATGCATTTGGCGCATTCATGAAAAACCTTTTATCCAGCAGTGGCCCAAGATAGACTTAAAAGAAAAGAAAAGCAGCAACGACAATGAAAAATTACTTTGATGCTTACAATATAAAAAAACACGTTCCTATTCACTCACTTTCTTACTCACTGTAATCACTCACTATTTCATTCATAGATATAAGATAACAAATACTCACGCCTGTCACCCAGAGGAGTAGGCAGAGAACAGGCTTCCATTTGGCACGATATGGTATAGTATAGATTGGCGATCGAGTCATTAGAGTGATGTGCATGTGTGGGAGACAAATAGTGCTCCACCATGCACTGCCTGCTCAACTTCAATTATCGATAGCGATTGCAGCATATTCGTGTCTTCCGATTTGATGCAGATAAATAAGTGAATATTTTTACCCAACTACGGCGAATCCCAAAGGATGTTTGCAATTTTAAAAGGCTTGTATGTATGTTCTCATCTGATCAGATCTAAACTACTCATCGTATTTTGACAAATTAGATATCTTAAAAGCATTGTGCCCGGGCTTTAAGCTGCATGAAATCATATAAAAACTATCATGGCGGCTTATTGTTGACATATAATGAATCATTCAAATACATATAATATTAAAAAAAACTATAATAAAATAAAACTAAAACTCAAAACTTAAAATAATAATCTTTGGCTGCGTTTCCTCGCTAGATGGCTACACGAATTAGGTAAATATTGAAATATCGTAATAAAAGGTGTAATTCAGAATTTTCCGACATTCCGATAATACATGTTATAAAAATGTTAGTATTTATAAGTTAATTTTTTTATATAAAACTGTAGTATCCAACGAACTTGCCCACCTGACGATGGTAAGTGACTACTGCAGTCATTGGAAACTGGCAGCTAACTTCAAACAAAGAAGGTTGTGAGCTCTACGGACCGAGATGGAATGCCTGACATCTGTATTTATACCGGTACTAGCTAAGAGGGTGAGGCCTCCCAGACAAAAATGGGGTCCTTGTGTACTTACAGTCCGTTCGCGTTAAGAAAATAGTGAGTCATCGTTGTCCGCCGGCCTGGCCACGCCCCTCAGCCAATTAAAATGCAAGAAATTAGAAAGTCGAGTTCACAGTGACCAGTTGAAGTCAGGCCTTCGAACAAAACGGTTGTGTATTTTGCGTGTTACTCGTTCAACATTAAATTTTGAAAATGAATACCTCACCGATTCGAAAGAATAAAAGTGGATCAATAATCCATAGCGGAGAGAGACGCGTAATTTACAATGTTTATAAGTACTTTAAACTGTGTGATTTAAATGCGACTGTGGAGAGCACAGTAATAAAAACAGCAAGTGCGTGTGGTGTGTCCGAAAATACTGTTTATAAAATTATTAAAGAACAAAAGGATACTAACACATTAAAATCACCCGTGAAAAAAAAATCTCGACTATCGACGGTCGATAAATTAGATGAACTAGACAAATGTGCAATAAGGAGAAAAGTTCACTCAATATATTAAATAACGACTACCCGACATTGGACAAAATTATGACACTTTGCGAAGCTGACGAAGATATTCCTGTTTTCAAACGTACCACACTTCATAAAATAATGCACGAGCTTGGTTTCGATTTCAATAAACAGGATAGCAGAACATTGTTAGTCGAAAGAGAAGATATTGTTTTATGGAGGCGTAAATATCTGAGGCAAATAAAAGAATACAGAGCCGCTAATAAAATCATTTACTATCTTGACGAAACGTGGGTAAACGCCGGACACGTAAAGATAAAAACATGGTTGGATACAACGATAAAAAATAAAAGACAAGCCTTTCTAGATGGCTTATCAGCCGGTCCAAATGCTCCGACAGGAAAAGGTAAAAGGTTAATTGTATTGCACATTGGCAGCGACAAAGGATTCGTGGAAGATGGTCTACTAGTATTTGAATAGACTATCATGGGATGGATGGTGAAAGATTCCTTAATTGGTTCATTAATATAATGCCTGAGCTAGAACCAGGAAGTGTGGTTGTCATGGATAATGCTCCCTGTCATTCGGTAAGAGTCGAAAAAATACCAACAACCAGCTGGAACAAGCAGCAAATAATAGATTGGCTGCAAAGCAAAGGAAAATCCATTGACATGACTTATTTAAAAAAAGAATTATTAATGAAAGTTGCCGAAATCACCCCACAATATAATAAATATTTAATAGACGAGACTGCCAAAAGTAATGGCATTACAATTCTTCGCCTACCGCCTTACTATCGCAAACTTAATCCTTAATTGAATTGGTTTGGACCCAAATAAAAAATTATGTTGGTGCCAATAACTCCACGTTCAAAATGAGTGACATAAAAATTATTAGATGACGCAATAGCATTAATAAACGCTAATCGTTGGAAGAAGTGCTGCGACCACGTGATACGCGAAGAAAATACCATGTGGAATTTGGATGACATCATGGAACTTGCAGAACAAAATTCTTTCATAATTAATGTAACTGGAGAATCTAGCGATACTTATTAGTGATTATTAAAAAATTTTTTAACTTAATTAAATGTTTGAAAAAAAAAAGAATTTTTACTCCTACTGTGTTTTCACTACTGTGAATACACCTTTACCCTGTAGTTGCACTGATGACTCACTATTTTCTTAACGCGAACGGACTATAGTTCATACATAAGCTTCAAAAATTGTTAATATAGTCACTGAATGAAACCCTGTTCTTAAAAAAATCACATGCGTGTTATTATGATGTGTATATCAATTAAATGTTGATAATTAAAACCACATTGCGTTTATCAAAAAGGTATCAAACAAGAGTACAATGTCTATTTTTTAGAATATTTTTTGTTAACTAATTTATGGTAAAAATGTTGTGAGCTAGCCATGCTGCAGCTATATTATGGGTGCAGCACGAATGGACCGGCTCGACCGGAGAAGGATTACGATATTACAAAATACCAGCGTTAAATAGCAGCTCAATACTGTTGTGTTTCGAATGGTGAGTGTAGAGAACCGGAGTCGGAATGCTCAGGGCGGCAACGCATCTACATTTTGATTCCTAATCGAGGATAGATGTAGATGTTTATGGGCCACAGCATCCACTTACCATCAGGTGGACTGTGTGTTGGTTTGCTATCCTTATTCTATATAAAAAAAACTCTACTTAAAGATATTTTCAATTTTGCGTACTTAGTTTTAATAATAAAATAAGTTTGAATATGTAATTTTAATAATAAATGTTCATGGCTGTATGTGTTGCAGTTTTACCCTTAATGCACCTGTATGTTACCGTTACAACCTATTAAAGTTCACTGCTGAACGTAAGTCTCCATTGGTGTTTATTTTTAGTCACATATAGTCGGATATTTCTTTTTGGCACCTATTCTTATCCTTTTATTATTTGCAATCACAGAAATCGTAATAATAAGACAATAGAAGTGGCATAGACGCGTCACCTTGTCGCCGTTATGATGTGTTGACGAACATCATTCACCGTTTTGTGATTTAATTGCGTGAGGAACGTCGTACGTGAATTTATGTTATTATAATGGTGAACTGCAGCATAATCAGTTGTAAAAACTCATCAAGGACGTGTAATTCAACTAATAAAGGCATAACATTCATCGGTAAGATGATTATTCACTAATTATCATTTTTAAGCTATTGCATAGCTTCTATCGCGGGCCTTGAGCGCGGGGACCGAATCCAGAAATTTCGTAACGAAAAAAGCCTCACGCTCCCCACTCCGACGGGCACGGAGGTGTGGCGTTGAAAGCCGTGCATCGTCTAACGTCGTTTCAGTTCGGCAGACTTCGGCACGGTGTTTGTGTGCGTGCGACTAGACGTATGCGTGTACACTAGCTGCTAACTCAATGATAAAAATTCCTGAATAACCTACATGTATTGTAAGATATTAAAAATATTTTAAACAATATTAACTTCTCATTTATTCAATAAGAGAAAAAAAATTGTTTTCTTATCGGTCGCCACGCTCAAAAAGTGTAACTTGATTTAATATCAAAGACTTAACTGCATAAATAAAATAAATAAATAATTATAATTGCATAAGTGGATAAAAAATGCTATGCAATAGCTTTACCGCGGCAGTCACCGAGTGCCACACGTATTTTTTTTAACTAATTTAAAATAATAAAATTTTCTAAACAAGTTGGAGCGCCTTCGTAATAATTCCATAAGGTTTATTTTTGGTTTACGTATGTATGACCACATATCATCCTATCGTTCAAAGCTTAAATGGCTACCTTAATATACGTCAAAGGCGATGCTCTAGAATTTTACTTGTACTTTATTCAATTTTAAACGTTGGATCGTTGGTCGCCTTCTTATCTTAAGGATAATTTTAATTTTTTTCATTCGATCGACGGTCGAACATCCCGACAGTCAAACCGTCTGAGGATAAGGTTTCCACAGCATAAGTCAAATTTTTTTAGGTCGTCTTTTACGATACAAGCTATACAACTTTGGAACACCCTCCCCAACGATATTAAAAAATGCCACAAATAAAAAAGTTTTCGAAGTTCTTCTCCGAGAACATTACCTGAAGGCAACTGCTAATTGACATTATTTTTCTTAATTCTTGTCTTTCTTTTCTTCTTTTTTTAACTTCAAATAATTATTTCATTATATATTATTCAAACATTATATTATGTATATCATTCATGTTGATATTTATTTACGAAGTTTAGAAGCATAAAAAATGTATATATATATATATATATATATATATATATATATATATATATATATATATATATATGTATGTATATATATATATGTCTGTATGTATTATTGTGCGTATATTTATACCATATGTGTGTATATTTAAATGTATTGTGTATGTATGTACTTTGTATACAGTGTGTAAGTGTAAACACCGTTGTCACTGAAACCATAGGTGGTTGGCTTTAATATAAAAATATTTATCCGATTTTTTTTTTTAAAAAAAAAAACGCTATTTTCTTTTATAAAATTAAAAAAGTTTCTGTCCGACACCGTCCGTAAATTCATGGATACCCTATGCGCTCGAGTGACGTAATCACTGTAAAGATCACCGCCCGCCCTTGCTACCTACACAACATTTCAATATAAACACAATGGTACACATAACCTATGATGAAACTTTTCCTTCATACTTTCACACTTGCTTAGGACAGATAAAAATTCCTACCCTTTGTGTTGCGTGACGAGTCCAAATTAATGTAAGTTAGATTTAACAACAAAGAAAATTAAACATTAATAATAGTAAATAGAAAATCATTAGGTAGGATTTTTGGCGTATTTACCGTATACCGTACCGCGGCCCTGGAACGCAAAGGGCATTTGAAATATAAGCTGACCGTTCATTGTACGGAAAGATCATACAAAGCGAGGCCAAGACAAAGGATTTGTATAGCTTGATGTGTAGCCTGATTGATTGGTTATTTACACTTACCTATTAAATAAAATCCTCGTAAATGAATTCCATTTTGATCAGCTTTTACATTAATCGTAAAAGCTAGAAGCACAACAGTGTCATTTCTCTAAATACACTAAGAATCGCCTTTTGAGTTCGGACGTATTACGGAACTTAGTTGCATACACTCGGCGTTTCACTTCTCCCCAAAGATAAAAGTCCAGCGGGGTAAGGTCGGGTCATCGCCCAGGAAACTCCTCAACCAGCATAGCCCTGATTTGCAGCTGAAAATGTGCAGGGGCACCGTCATGTTGGTAGTAGAAGTTTCTCAGTGAACGAAGAGGCACATTTCCACTGCACGTTTATGTAGGACATAAAACACACTCGCACCAAAACTACAACCTAAAGCGACGTAGAATGTCGGCACGGCGCGCAGCGCGGTTTTAAATCAAATTAACAGGTACATTCCCTACCGCAGGGACAGACTGACACACTGACACACACTGACATTGGCCTTGACCGCGAATCGCTGCCGCTACCTACGATATGTTGAGTTTTTTGTTGTGAATTCTGTAGGTATATCCCTACTTGCCTAGGGTGAAATAATTGTAAGAAAAAATTGAGATTTGACAAAAAAAAATGTTGTTATTTTCTATTGAAATTACTTTCTATAAGTGAAACCAAACCACTAGTTTCAAGGATAACGGTGTTTACAGTAACACCCTGTATATGTATATTTTAATGTATATGCACATATTTATGTATAATGGTCGCACCTGCCCACAATTGTCCTTGGCACCCAGTGTTGACTGGCAGGGAATGCCTCATGGCATTAAGTCCGTCCTATGTACCCTTTAGCTTAAGGTGTTACATGTAAGTTTTTAAATAAATAAATAAATAAATAGTCGACAGTCGACCCTATTGCATTTCTTATAAGGCGCCTAATATTATGTTATTGTATAAAGTCATACACCAACCGTACATTCAACCAATCACACTACACAAATACTCACCACGTCATTCCCCACACCCGACACTCACATTCGTTCTCACATTCCCATTCTAACTTCCGACCAAACAAGACACAAGCAGAACATCAAGAATGTATTTTAATATAATTAATAAAATTGTGAATTCAGTCGAATAAATCTTTGAGAAGAACTACGAATTCTTTCTTTTGTTCATCGCGAACACTGTCAGATTATAGTTCACACTTCACATTATATTGCTTTCTGATATATCTCTATCAGAAAGTCTTAACTAATAACAAACTACTTTTTTTCAAATGCCGTATATCTGAATTTAAATACTACTAATTTAAATTCTAGTGGATGTAATAACATTAAGCATAATATGTAAGTAAGTATTGTAAATATATACTAACAACAGGCGTAACAGGGGTATCCTCTATTGGTTGCGGTTGGGGTGGAGATTTGGGTAATTCTTGTTCAGGTTGCTGCGCTACGTGGGCTTGCTGGGAACAAAAAAATTGCAATTCTAATATAGATTACTTGAAATTTATAACTTTAGTTTACGACGGGCTGTTTTCCTCAACTCTTAAGTCTAAGCGCGTATTTTGCGTGTGGGCAGGAATATTATGATTATACGAGCCATGAAATTTCCCCAAAAAAGTTCAACATTCCTTTATGTTGCGAGCAACTTCAGCGAGTGATTCCAGCGTGCCGAGATGTGTGTTGTCCTCTGAGTTTAATATCGAGAAATTCACTAAATTTAGCACGGCATGGTGATTTTTTTTTTTTTGATTTATTTAGGACAACCAACAAGAAGTACACGAACACAATGTAAATACTACAAATTACAGGAAGGTTTATATCTAAGTGTCATCTTAATTAAAGGTTGCCACGGCATGCAATGTGGACAACGAATATGTTTTTTAAAACTTACAACTAGGTCTAAATGTTAGTTAAAAGCAAAGGACTGCATAATTTTTCGTTTGAATTTTTGAGGCTTATCAGCAAAAATATCAACGTCACATGTCTTGCAGAGCTGGTTATATTGCCTCTGTAACCTGTTCATGGTGGCGTGGTGACCCAAATTAGTTTTACTGCCTTCAACTGAAAAGGGGACGTATCGGCTGACACGCACTAGCTTAAAAGGTAACTTGAAATTTATTGCACTTAGTAGGTATGGACAGTCTACGGTTCCATTGACGATTTTGTGTAGCAACATGAAATCCAGCAAAAGCCTCCGCTGTTGCAGGGTACTTAATTTAAAATACGTCAGTCGGCCTTCGTATGAGGGTAGATCCTTTATTTTGTAAGTTTGGTACGAAAGATACCACAAAAAACGCTTCTGGATACGCTCTATGCGTTTCACGTAAAGGTCATAAAATGGAGACCAGACTTGACTACAGTATTCGAGGCTGGAACGGACTAAAGACTTGTACAAGGGTATCTTTGTAGAGGTCCTCTTAAATTCTTTAGAATTACGCAACACGAACCCCAACATTTGAAGACCCCTTGTAACAATTCCATCAACGTGCTTATGAAACCGCAACTTTTTGTCCAGAATCACACCCAGATCTCGAACAGAGTCCACTTCTACCAAAGGAGGACCATCAATATTATACATAGGTGTCGGAACATTTACACACTTTGAGAACCTTATAATTTTACATTTATCGAGGTCCAAAAATATCTGTTCTTAATGCACCACAAAGACATCCGGTACAAATCCTTTTGCAATAGGAGTGAGTCACTGTGGTCTTTGATTTTCAAGGACAATTTCATGTCATCTGCGTACATAAAGCAGGTCGCGTGTTTAAAAACAGACGCTAGGTTATTTATAAAAATATTGAAAAGGATCGGACCGAGATGGGAACCCTGAGGAATACCAGACGTAGGTAGAAATGGTTCTGAGGAGTAACCATTTACCGCAACTCTCGATTTTCTCTACCTGAGGTATGAAGAGAATCATTCGAGAAGATTGCCAGTGATGTCCAAAATTGAGAGTTTGTGAAGTAAGATGTTATGATCTACAATGTCAAACGCCTTACTGAAGTCTGTGTAGATGGCAAGCGGGAATCGAGAGACTTGGGACATATTCCACAAACGAAACGAGATTTGTAGCTGTATAGCGAGATGTTAAAAAACCCGATTGTTGGGGTGAGATTATTTGTTTTATGTGCCAAGCCAAAACAGGACAAACTAATGATTCAAAAACTTTAGCGAAGACAGACAATATGGATATTGGTCTGTAATTTCTGACGGATCTTGCGTCTCCTGATTCATAAATTGGGACAGTACGTGCCTGTTTCCAGACCGAAGGGAAAGTACCCGTTTTTAAACTATAGACTACCATAAACAATAGGGGAAAAATAAATCGCAAATTATTATTTTAATTACTGCTTATTTGCTTTTAAGATGGGGCTAATGATGATTGCTGTATTTTATTCATTCAATATTAGCATTTTATACATAATCAGATATTGATCAAAATACTTTCATTTTAAAATTATTGATGTTCTCTTTAAAAAGGGAAGAAAAAACTATATATTAAGCAAACTGTCTAAAAACCGCCATTATATAATAATTATTTTTTGTATGGGAAAAATGTCAAGTTATAAAAAAATCTACTACTAACATCTACTGATAGCTAAAAATGTGTGTGTTGCGAACTTATGTAAGTACATGTAAGCAAACAAACATATGAGACCGCATTATTTTATAATCCAAAACCAGAACAATTGGATTTGGAGATGGTGAGATTGATCTTTTAATGATTTCTTATATTTACGCGAACACAACACATTGAATAAAACTATTTATACGAATTTTATCGCGTTGAAATAACTTATTTTTAATTCCCGACGTTTCGGGTGCTTTACAGCAACTAATGTCCGTATAAATAGTTTAATTCGATTGATTATCTTTTGTTATTTTCAAAGAACATAAGGTTTGTGCTACTTCCTATTTGCTTCTTACCTTTGATAGTTTCTTCATAACAGCGGGCGGAGGACCATCATTGCTGTCAGTTGGAACATAAAACATCTGTGTATCCAACGAGCCATCAGGTTTTGGAATAGGTTTAATCTGAAATAAAATTCGGGTATAACTGAATTTTATTTAAATAAATAAATGTTAGAGATAAATTATTTTATTAACATAAATTAATTATAAAAATATTTAATACTCTGATTTTGCTGCAAAAACCAATGAAAACTTATTACCTTGATTGTAATTCTTGGATGCGGTAGTTCTGGATTCTCCATATCTTGAGTCTTCTTCTTTCGTTTATGTTTATGAGATTTTGATGGAGATCGCATCAAGTCCGGGGAATACCTCGACCTGTGCTTTTCTTTTCTTCGCTTTCTATTCGCCTTGTATGTGGCTATATCAGATGAAAGATTGGCTAGGGTATTCTCAATCGAACTTTCGATAGCTTTGGCATCCCTCTCTTTAGAATCGCTTAGGAGAGCTGAGAATGAAAGGTTCTGTGAGAAATAACCATCTTCTTTTTTCGCTGATAAATTTGTCAATGACGCATTTGAGTTTTCGTTGTGAGAGTCGTTTGGGCTGTCGGCTACTATAGGCGTTATTGACATAAGAGGAGTGTTCGTTAGAGTTGGCGAAGTGAAACTTCGCTTATGTAACTTTTTACTAAGAACTTCCTCTCCTCCAGATGCAGTAGTATGTTCTTTATGTTTTGATGACTTTATTTTTTTATCTTTCTTTGATTTCACTTCGGCTGTTTCGTTACCGTCGCTGCTGAACTCGAACGGTTTGATTGTTACTTTGATCGGCGAAATATTTTCGGTGATCCCAACACCATTAACTTTGGATTTTTCCGTTTTAGGGCCTTTATCAACTTTTTTCGGTGGAGGCGAATTAGGTACCGAACCGGGACTTTGAGGCTCAGAAATGATAGCGCCATCTTTACTGTATCTTATTCGCGAACGGCGAGGCACTTTCTTTTCTAACACTTCCGGCTCAGAGTCAGAGGTTTTGTCGCATTCAGAACATTGCCTATAAAAATAAAATAACCATAAATTATTAAACTGTTAGATGTGGTGAACATAGAGTCTAGATTCCCGGATGAAATTTCGTTGCAACAATACAGCTCGCAACAATATATTAACTAAACAACGGACTTAGCCGTGAACTAAAATATTGTAAGGTAATCTTAAATTTCAGTCATGTGAAGTCACCAGCAGGCATCGGCGGACACTTCATGACCTAAAGAAAAAGTGGAATAACCGTTGAATAAAACTATTATTTACGGATTTTATCGCGTTTAATTCTAATTTAAGAAATCATTATGGAATAACCGAGTAGTAATGGGTTTTTCAACAAGAACTTTGTTTTTCAATTGGGGCAACACCAACAACATGACAGTTTTGACATTTAGTTTTTTGACCTATTCCTAGTAGATGCTTTGGCAATTGCTACAATGAATTCAATTTCGCTCGAAAATCGCATTAAAATAATTAAAATCCACTATGAAAATGGTGGTTCTGTTAAAGTTAAGTTTCGTAAAACTCGTGATATTTTCGGACAACATAATCCTTCTGAGACCGCTATTAAGAATTTGGTCGCTAAATTTGAATTGACAGGCTCGGTACAAAATGTGCCAACACCAACGCGTGCCCATTTTCACTTGTCAGGGTACGTCAACAAGCAAAATTGCCGCATTTGGGCTTCTGAAAATCCTAAAGCGATTATTGAGAAGCCTTTGCATGCTCAACGTGTCACTGTATGGTGCGCTATGTGGTCTGGAGGCGTGATTGGGCAGTTTTTTTTTTCGAAGATGAGGCTGGAAATGCGGTAACGGTCAATGGATCACGCTATCGCGAGATGTTAACATCTCAATTTTGGCCTATTATTGATGACATCGATATCACAAACATGTGGTTTCAACAGGACGGTGCCACATGTCATACAGCCAACGAAACGATCAATTTATTGCCAAACCAAATTTCCCGATCGCATAATTTCACGAAATTCAACTGTTAAAAGGCCAGCCAGATCGTGTGATTTAACACCACTGGATTATTTTTTGTGGGGCTATGTTAAGGACAGAGTCTATACGGAGCCAATCGAATCGATCGCGGCCTTAAAACTCAAAATCCGTGACGTGATTAACGAAATAGACCCGCCATTTTACCAAAAAATGATTAAATACTTTGATGAAAGAATCGACATCTGTCAGCGTGGTCTTGGTGGACATTTGCCACATATCATTTTTCATTCATAATTGCCAAACTTTTCTCTTCGTAATACAATAAAAATTTGAATCATCTTCATCTAAACTCTTTGTTTAATTTTGTTTTAGAAAACAAAGTTCTTGTTGAAAAACCCTTTACAAGCATATTTACGTCCCATTGTCCACAGGTCTTCTATCTATTCCAGAAAGGCGGCCAGTGCCAAGCAGTGAGACGTAATGTAGTCTGATACTTTACACTAAATAAAATTAGAGTTGGGTCGATTAGTACTTTGGCCGATTGGCCGATTAGCCGATTAATCGGTTAAGAAATGGCCGATTAATCTGCCGTTTTAGCCGATTAATCGCCGACTAATCGGTGACTACAAATAGGCCGGTTAATCGGCCCAACTCTAAATAAAATGTAAAAAAAATTAATTAACTAAGTGCATAATATGAAAACGAGTATGAAGAAAACGAGTAACCTTTTTTTGGACAGGTTTTAATGTATATTATGTAATGTTTCCTTATCTTAAAATTGAGTACGTTGCAATATATTTTTACCTATATTGGCCAAAAACTACGACTAGCGCAGTGATTTCAACGAACCGAGTTTAAATCCCGCACGGAACAATTGTTTGTATGGCTTTCAAATACTTATTCCGGGTGTAAATCCACCATCAATTTATCCGCCATCGAAATCGTGTGACGTCACGCTACTCACCAGCCGTACTGCTCTTCTTAGGCGGGCGCTGCAGCGGCGGGTTGAGGCAGTGTAGGTGGTAGTACTGCTGGCACGTGTCGCACGCCGCCATCGCTGTCGTGAGACGTCACGCTACTCACCAGCCGTACTGCTCTTCTTAGGCGGGCGCTGCAGCGGCGGGTTGAGGCCGTGCAGGTGGTAGTACTGCTGGCACGTATCGCACGCCGCCATCGATGTCGTGAGACGTCACGCTACTCACCAGCCGTACTGCTTGCTCTTCTTGGGCGGGCGCTGCAGCGGCGGGTGGAGGCAGTGCAGGGGGTAGTACTGCTGGCACGTCTCGCACGCCGCCATCGCTGTCGTGAGACGTCACGCTACTCACCAGCCGTACTGCTTGCTCTTCTTGGGCGGGCGCTGCAGCGGCGGGTTGAAGCAGTGCAGGTGGTAGTACTGCTGGCACGTGTCGCACGCCGCCATCGCTGTCGTGAGACGTCAAGCTACTCACCAGCCGTACTGCTTTGCTTTTCTTGGGCAGGCGCTGCAGCGGCGGGTTGAGGCAGTGCAGGTGGTAGTACTGCTGGCACGTGTCGCACGCCGCCATCGCTGTCGTGAAACGTCACGCTACTCACCAGCCGTACTGCTTGCTCTTCTTGGGCGGGCGCTGCAGCGGCGGGTTGAAGCAGTGCAGGTGGTAGTACTGCTGGCACGTGTCGCACGCAGTCATCGCTGTCATGTGACGTCACGCTACTCACCAGCCGTACTGCTTGCTCTTCTTAGGCGGGCGCTGCAGCGGCGGGTTGAGGCAGTGCAGGTGGTAGTACTACTGGCACGTGTCGCACGCCGCCATCGCTGTCGTGAGACGTCACGCTACTCAACAGCCGTACTGCTTGCTCTTCTTGGGCGGGCGCTGCGGCGGCGGGTTGAAGCAGTGCAGGTGGTAGTACTGCTGGCACGTGTCGCACGCCGTCTTCGCTGTCGTGTAACGTCACGCTACTCACCAGCCGTACTGCTTGCTCTTCTTGGGCGGGCGCTGCAGCGGCGGGTTGAGGCAGTGCAGGTGGTAGTACTGCTGGCACGTGTCGCACGCCACCATCGCTGTCGTGTGACGTCACGCTACTCACCAGCCGTACTGCTTGCTCTTCTTAGGCGGGCGCTGCAGCGGCGGCTTGAAGTAGTGCAGGTGGTAGTTCTGCTGGCACGTGTCGCACGCCGCCATCGCTGTCGTGTGACGTCACGCTACTCACCAGCCGTACTGCTTGCTCTTCTTAGGCGGGCGCTACAGCGGCGGGTTGAGGCAGTGCAGGTGGTAGTACTGCTGGCACGTGTCGCACGCCACCATCGCTGTCGTGTGACGTCACGCTACTCAGCAGCCGTACTGCTTGCTCTTCTTGGGCGGGCGCTGCAGCGGCGACTTGAAGTAGTGCAGGTGGTAGTACTGCTGGCACGTGTCGCACGCCGCCATCGCTGTCGTGAAACGTCACGCTACTCACCAGCCGTACTGCTTGCTCTTCTTGGGCGGGCGCTGCAGCGGCGGGTTGAGGCAGTGCAGGTGGTAGTACTGCTGGCACATGTCGGACGCCGCCATCGCTGTCGTGAGACGTCACGCTACTCACCAGCCGTACTGTTTGCTCCTCTTGGGCGGGCGCTGCGGCGGCGGGTTGAGGCAGTGCAGGTGGTAGTACTGCTGGCACGTGTCGCACGCCGTCATCGCTGTCATGTGACGTCACGCTACTCACCAGCCGTACTGCTTGCTCTTCTTGGGCGGGCGCTGCAGCGGCGGGATGAAGCAGTGCAGGTGGTAGTACTGCTGGCACGTGTTGCACGCCGTCATCGCTGTTGTGTGACGTCACGCTACTCACCAGCCGTACTGCTTGCTCTTCTTGGGCGGGCGCTGCAGCGGCGGGATGAAGAAGTGCAGGTGGTAGTACTGCTGGCACGTGTCGCACGCCGCCATCGCTGTCGTGAGACGTCACGCTACTCACCAGCCGTACTGCTTGCTTTTCTTGGGCGGGCGCTGCAGCGGCGGGTTGAGGCAGTACAGGTGGTAGTACTGCTGGCACGTGTCGCACGCCGCCATCGCTGTCGTGTGACGTCACGCTACTCACCAGCCGTACTGCTTGCTTTTCTTCGGCGGGCGCTGCAGCAGCAGGTTGAGGCAGTGCAGGTGGTAGTGCTGCTGGCACGTGTCGTACGCCGCCATCGCTGTCGTGTGACGTCACGCTACTCACCAGCCATACTGCTTGCTCTTCTTGGGCGGACGCTGCAGCGGCGGGTTGAGGCAGTGCAGGTGGTAGTGCTGCTGACACGTGTCGCACGCCGCCATCAGGTGGCGCTCGCTGCTGCGACCGCACGCCGCGCACTCCCTTGCCGCCAGCGCGCCACACGTGGCTGCCGATAAACGAAAGTCACGTTGCAGGCAAGCTTTGACTTAATCGTCACACTTAACACGGTACCAGGCATTTCGCACCTTTGATGCTTGTTCCGGTTTATCTAAGTATTTAATCTCTGATGTAAGCGAGATGCCGCCGTGGTAGCTTAGGTGGTTAACGCTCGCTGTAAATATAACAGAACGCGAGTAACCCGGGTTCGATCCCCGCCGGTACCAATGAAATTATTAATTGCCATTTTAAGTGCTGATTTAGCACGTGCTCGGCGTTGAAGCAAAACATCATGACGAAACCTGTATATCTGAGGAATAAGAAAAAATATTTAGAAGACATGTGAAGTTCGCCAACACGCATTGGGGCAGCGTGGCGGACACTTCCTTGCCTTAAAACCCTCAGAAATGAGGGGAGGCCTGTGCCCAGCAGTGGGACGTGTATAGGCTGTAACTTTTAAGCGAGATGGCTATACCGCCATCTGTCGGAAGCTGAAAGACCTTTCTGGCATGTCACATGTCGCTTCTTACGAGACCCACGAGACAAAATGTGGTTACCCAACGATTACTCATTACTGCAATCATGAAAGACTACAACCGACATCAGACAAAGAAGACTACAGATATAATTATAATACCTAAAGATCAAGTTGGAAAGAAAAAAATTACTGAAAATTGAGACTATATCGAAAATACATATAGTGTGGAACATGTTAGATAAATAGAATAAAGATTTCTTAAATTTACGCGAACACTACACATTGAATAAAACTATATTTACCGATTTTATCGCGTTTAATTAACTATTTTAACATATTTTTAATCCCCGACCTTACAGACGTATCAAAGCACACACAAAGTATTCATACCATTTTGTTAGTGAGATAAAAGACTTACTTCTCGCTGACAATGAAACTATGGTCAGTTTTGATGTTCAGCCACTATTTACATGCCTACCTATTGATGAATGCATCTCAATTGTAACTAGGAACCTAGAATAAAATAACTTGCCTGAAGAATATGCAAAATTACTTGAACACTGCCTCACATCTAGCTATCTATTGTGGAAGGAGGAGTTCTACAAGCAAGTAGTTGTGGCGATGGGCTCACCTGTGTCTTCCATAGTCGCCGACATATTCATCTTCCATGAATATGTCGGCGACTATGGAAGACTTTGAGGAGAAAGCCATTCTTAATGCTCCTGTAAATCCAAGATTCTACAAGCGGTACGTAGAAGACACTTTCACAATTTTACCATCTGACAAAGTAACTGCATTTTTAGACCACCTTAACTCCATAAACTCAATAAAATTCACAATGAAGTTAGAGACAAATAATTTTTTAGCTTTCCTAGATGTTTTTGTCATCCGAAATCTTGATAAGACTATTGGTCACACTGTGTATAGAAAAAAGACCCATTCAAACTAATAGTTAAACATTGAGCTATTATATACTACGTACTAGAGGCGACACTGCATCCAGCTACTCTGTTCCACTCAACTGCGGTGCATACACCGCACTTTAATCAGTCACTCGCTAGGCGCTTGTAGAGTTGTCACGTGTCGTGTTGATTTAAAAAAAATCTCTTGATAAAAATATACCGTCGTGTGTACTTAGATATTGCGCAAATAATTCAAGAAATGTCAGTAAAAACCAAGGAATTACTTTTCATCGGTTAATAAGATACTTAATCAATAAAAAAGTATTATAGATTAATAATAAAAAAATTATTCCTAAGACGCCATCTCGTGTCATGGAATATAGATTATGAAATTCATATGTTCAGATGTGACTTGTGTTTCTGTGGGTACTTAAGTATAGGACGAATATATTATTATACAAATTTTTTTGTAGAAACATATATAAGTTATTATAATTAGGCAACATTTTTCATGTTTAAATCTGCTTATTATTCTTTTATTTTATTTTTAGGTTTCCACATCAAAGTCAAAGTGGTATAAATTCGTCCATTTTTAACTCTCGCAATAACCATTTTTAACATTTATGAACGACTCTTATCCTAATTTAAATAAATATATTTGTAATTTAAATGTTATGTTAATAAGTTTTGTTAAACGTACATTTAGTATGTTTTTTTTATATTTGACATAGATCCACATGTAATTGTGATATAATATTATGTAATATTATATTAAATAAGCAAATATAATATACAAAATAAATGACAAAATTTAAATATTGTTCTCGATATAATTTACCTATTTAACATACAATCTTACTATTGGATATTACCTACGGGTCATTCTACCTATGTTTATTCTATGATAAAAAAACCAACCGCGCGAACACAGAGTAGCGCATATTTTTTGTTTGACATAGCTGTTCTAGTACGTAAGTACATATTACTTAAATGTATTTAAACGGTGAATCTCACCATGATCCTTTACAGTTAGCTACCGTGAGTAAATCTTTTTTCAGAGAGCACGAGGGATCTGTGACAGAAAACATCTGGCCGCCGAGCTTCAGCACGTCAAGCAAGTGTTGCAAGACAATAAGCTTCGGGTCCCGCGCCTACGTCACAGTGACCGAGTGAAGCCGGCCACAGTCGAGCGTGTGCCTGCTGTACTACCATAATATGTCAGAGGAGTCACAGACAAGGTAAAACAAAAAAAGAAGGTAAGACAACAAAAAAAGGACAAGGTTGGCTACATCTTGAAGCGCGCTTCCATTAAAATATACTACAAGCCGCCGAAGAAGATTAGTTAATTTTTACCATCCGTCAAGTGTAATATTCATCTACAAGATGCAGGAGTGTACAAGTTAGATTGTAAATGTGGTCTCTCTTACATAGGTCAATCAAAAAGATTCATAAAAACCCGCGTGAAAGAACATATAGCTGACGTGAAGTACCGACGCTTTGGGAAGTCTACAGTCTATGAACGTGTTCAAGATCATCCCCACAATTATATCAGATTTGATAAACCACAAATCCTCTCAAAAGAACACCGATTCCTACCAAGGATGATACGCGAGGCTATTGAAATTAAAAAACATCCTAATTTCAATAGAGAAGATGGATGGGTTCTGCCATCTGCTTGGGATCCTATAATTAACAAAATTAAACCCAAACCCAAGCATAACATTGCAAGCTCGTTCTGCGTAGATCGGACCAAAAATTTATATTCAAACACTGAAGACAGCCGGGTTAACTACGACATTGGGATCATCCATCTTCATCATCATAACTTAAAATAGTTAATTAAACGCGATAAAATCCGTAAATATAGTTTTATTCAACAAATAAAATATTTAAAAATATACACACTGATTTTATATTATAGGATCTCGTTAATGGAATCACTTTTAGCATAGAATCTTTCGATAAAAAAGAAATAACGGAGAATATATTGCGTTTGCAATGAGTAACTAGTCTGGCCATAAATAATGTTACAAATTAAAAACAGAATTCAACGAAACCCAATAAGGAAACAAAAAATGATTTTGTGTGAAATGAAGATTTCAATTAGAACCCAATAGCGAACCTGAAGCTAGATAATTATTGTACAATACACAGAAAATGTCCTAATTCACTGCCTACACTCAAGAGAGCGAACAAACCGAAAATTTTTGTTCCAATAAACTTGTGGTAGACAAATAAATAGAATACACTTTAGAAATAAAATGGCTTTAAATAAAATTGTTTTAAGAACGCTTAGCTTTCGAAAACACACTTGTTTTATAAATATAAAACTGTTTCTTAAAAAAGATACGGATTGATATGTGTAACAAAACTTATGTCCATACAAAGTAGATATAATTAGTTTAACAATAAATAACAAATCAGCACTAACCTTCAAGCGAAGTTGACAAAACTTTTCCATGGCGAGCGTCCGGATTGTCGCTAAGAGGAAAACCAACGCCCATCTTAAGTGCAGCTGCGGTGGGCACAGACATTGACCTGTGGCCGTTTCAACATATAGTATACGACCATGATTTCAAGAGGCCTAGTAGGTACTTGGGGTTGTTACAAAAAACTAAGAAATTTTAAAAATATAACACAGAATTCTTCTGTAAAATGCAATAAGATAAGATGCAGTAAAATCATTTAATTTTGATTTCTTAAATTTACACGAACACTACACATTGAATAAAACTATATTTACGGATTTTATAGCGTTTAATTAACTATTTTAACTTATTTTTAATTCCCGACGTTTCGAATGCTTTACAGCACCCATGGACACGGGGGGGACTGAGATGTTTGACGTCCCAATGTCATAGTTAGTCCGGCTACCTTCAGCCGGGTCGGGAATTAAAAATAAGTTGAAATAGTTAATTAAACACGATAAAATCCGTAAATATAGTTTTATTCGTTTAATTTTTTTAATATTTCTCATAGTCAATTTGATATTCAACGGTTTACAGTTAATTCCAAGTACAAAGTAGGCCTAAAATTTATAATTATAATAATTAACAAAACCATGATTATTATAGAAAAAAATAAAGATATGAGGAATGATATATAGAACATACCGTTTCTGTAACTGCTGGGGTGTGACTTTAGGCGTCGACCGTGGTATTACAGGAGGTAACAAGGGCTTTTCCTCCATTATAGATGGTATAGTCTTCTTAGGAGAAATCATAATGATAGCATCGTAGATCTTCTGCAATGCTAGTCGCGTAGAAGCCAATTCTGCCAGAGCGTCGGTATTTTCTTTTGATGCCTAAATGTATTAAAGAAAATTTTGTTATGGACAAACCATAAAATCTATATGATGTTAGTATCATACAGGTACAAAACAAGTACAAATGTAGACTGAAAGAAAATATAAGTGGTTTGGATGGATTGCGCATGAATGAGTTAGACTTGGAGAATGTATGGCAAATGTTAAGGAAGGTTTAGTGAATGCAGCTACCGAAGTATGTGGTGTTAGTAAGAGAACGAATGAAAGAAAAAATTATACGTTATGGTGGGATGATGAGGTACATAAGGAAGTTGAAGCAAAGAAGACGCAACAAAGGCTGGTAATTTTGGCGGTACGAATGATGATAATGAAAAAAGGCAGTCTTTAGACATCTAAATAAAAGAGTAAAAGAAGTAGTTGAAAGGAAGAAGCAAGAAAGAACGGATAAGAATAATAGAAGAATATCGGATAACTTCCAGGAAAACATTAAAATGTTCTGGAAACTCGTAAGAACTGCCAGGGGGCATTCAAAACAGTCTAGAACGAATGCTATTAGAAGCGAGAACGGATATATTCTGAGTGACGAAGTTTCGAATTTAAAGAGATGCGAGGAATAATTTGAAAGCGTGTTTATGAGTGAGGAGACGAAGAATAAACTAAATGAAATAGAAATTCCGAAAGAAAAGGAAAGGAAGTAGGGATAAGTATAGATGAAATAATGAAAGCAATGAAAATCATGAAAGCAGGTAAGTCGCAGGCCTGCTGCACACCTTGTTTAATTTATGTTGGGAACTGAAGCGGGTACCGGAAGAATGGTTATTTAATTAATTTATTATAATCTATATGATATTTTTTATTATTTATGAACCTTAGTTTTGAAATAATTACACATAAACACGAAAGTGAACGCAAGTAAAACAAAAGTTATGGTTTTTGAAAGAGAAGAAAGTAAAACGATAAGTGAAATAAGACTAGAAGGAGAGTTGGTCGAGCAAGCAGATTTAAGATGTGTATTCAGCAGGGATGGGAGATATGATAAGGATATAGAACGATGAGTCAAAGCAGGAAATAAAGTAAATGGGGCTCTACACTCTATTGTGAAAAGTCAGAATGTGTCAAAAAAGGCACGTATGGCAATTCACAATGCTGTTTTAGTCCTTACATTAACATATGGTAGTAAGAGTTGGGTGTGGCAGAAGAAGCACGAGAGTAGAATGAATGCAGTAGAAATGCGTTCGATAAGGAGTTTTAGGGCTGAATCTGTGTGACATGGTGAGAAATTGTGTGATAAAAGAAAAGTGTGGTTTGCAAGATGATGCTGTAACCAGTATTAAGAAAGGAATGCTTCTGTGGTTTGGTCATGTAGAAAGAATGAACGAAGAAAGTGACAAAGCAAATTTATGTTGCAAAAGTAAATGGAAGAGCCGGAAAGGAACGTCCTAGGCGAAAGTTTATCAACCAAATTGGCGATATATTGAAGATAGACCAAATCAGGATTACCCTTAATCGATAAGCATGTATGCGCAGGTATATGAATGTGGAGGAGACAAGAGAGGTGTGAGGATCGTGTCAAATGTGAGTCTGTAGTCTCTGTCTACCCCTCTGGGTGACAGGCGTGAGTGTTTATGTTATTATACAGGTTGAGGCATAATAAATTGATAATATGGTACCTGCGGGTAGAGGACGTTGTGGCGGTTTAGAAAAATAAGTTTTATGTTTAGTAAAAGTCCCTCCCTAGTCCCTAGGTTTTCGAGATATTTCGAAATTTTAGAAAATTAAAAAAAATTACAACCTTTGCCACTCTTTTTGGTGACAAGACTCAAAATGAAGGATTTATTTCAATATTTTTTTGGATAGTATTTCTGGATAGAAGCGCTATCGGATGTAAACTATGATTTTTGGAGCGATTGCATAGCTTTTTTTAAACAAAGATCTAACTCAAATTTCATGTTGTGCTTATTTTTTTCCTAAGTTTAACCTAACGCGGTGTAAAAAAAATATGATCACTTGAGTGCCAAATTAAGAAAAAACATGCCTGTGTCATACTATAACATATTATTATATACATAACACTGTATTTCCAGCATTTAATACAAAATAAATTGCTATTACAATAGTGCTAAAATTTACTATATTACTTGATATTAATGATTTCTTATATTTGCGCGAACATTGCACATGATTAAAACTACTTTTACGGATTTTATCGCGTTTATTTTTACTTTTTATTTTTAATTCCCGACGTTTCGGGCGCTTTCCAGCACCCATGGTCACGGGGGACTGAGATGACTGATGTCCCTATGTCATTGTTAAACCCGGAGTACCTTCAGCTTTTTTTTTTTAATTATTGTTTATGGTCCGATCTATGCAAAATGAACTGACTATGTCTTGAGTTCTTGCAGTGGTATGATTGGTTTTAGTTTTAATTTTATTGATTATAGGATCCCAAGGAGGTGGTAGTACCCAGCCTCCTTCTCTATTGAAATTAGGATGTTTTTTAACTTCAATAGCCTCACGTATCATCCTTGGTAGGAATCGGTGTTCTTTCGCGAGGATTTGTGGTCTATCAAATCTGATGTAATGGTTGGGGCCGTCTAGGATATGATCACAAACTGCAGACTTCCCGGAACGTTGATGCTTCACATCAGCTATATGTTCTTTTACGCGGGTCCTAATTGATCTTTTGGTTTGTCCTATATAAGAGAGACCACATTCACAATCAAGCTTGTACACTCCTGCATCTCGTAGAGGAATATGACACTTGACGGATGGTAGGAACTGACTAATCTTCTTCGGCGGCTTGTAGAATGTTCTAATAGAAGCTCGCTTCAAGATATAGCCAATCTTGTCTGTGACACCTCTGACATATGGTAGTACAGCAGGCACACGCTCGACTGTGGCCGGCTTCACTCGGTCACTGTGACGTAGGCGCGGGACCCGAAGCTTGTTGTCGTGCAGAACTTGCTTGACGTGCTGAAGCTCGGCGGCCAGGTGTTTGCTGTCACAGATCCCTCGTGCTCTCTGTAACAAAGATTTGCCCACGGTAGCTAACTGTGAAGGTTGGTGGTGAGATTCACCGTTTAAATATCGGTTTGTATGGGTCTTTTTCCTATACACATCCCGTAGCTGGTTCTGGCTTTGAGGCATCCTCAGTAAAAAAGTCGAATAGGTAAAGGTCCGGTGATCGTGAGAGCCAAAAAATTGTCCCTAATCGCCCGATCCATCTTCTGGGATGCATTTCGTTAAGATAGTCTCAAACGCTACAGGCGTAATGGGAGTGGCAGCCATCGTGCTGCAGCCACATTCTTCCAACGAAACGTTTTCCAATATAGTCGGGAGATAGTGTTTTAAAAAATTCAAATAGCTCTATGCGGTCAATGTTCATGACAATTCGAATGTACCGATGAAGCTGCCGTTTAGGATCCCAGTCCAAAGGTTTATTTTAAATCATACTAGGACCTGTATTCGTTACCAAATGATTGGTTAGCGCCAACTGTGCAGATTGTGCTATTAAAATATCAGTCTTTTTTGCACGTGGACCCGACGTTCCACAGAATTTTATAGAAGAATTCGGGATCATTGTTCAATTTTCTTAGCATTTTCTCGCAAAATTCAACTTTTACAGGATAGTCATTGTTGATTTCATCATCATTGATTGTCTTTGAACGGGCTGATAATGAAACGGGTGTAACTTCTCTCGTTTTAATGTTCTATGCACTGCACCAGCCGATTCGCTTCTGTGTCTTGCTATGGTGCGCACAGAGGTGATCGGATCGGTTACGATTTCATCATGTACATCCTCTTCATTGTGTACTTGTGGCCTCCCGGAACTCGCTCCGCCGTTACCAGTTCCAGGTATTCGGCCTTCCATGAATGCATTATGCACGCAAGTAAATACTCGATAATCGAAATGGCGTGCATTAGAAATTTTTTCCCGATACAGTACTGCAGCTCGATTGGCGTTTCCACCACACTCGCCGTAGATTAAATGCATTTGAGCATAGACAGAACTAGTGTATAGCTGAGGCAATGCAGTTAATAGAAAATCCAAATCAAGAAGCAAATCAAGTCCGAAGTCACAGCACAAATTAGTTACACCAAATTAAAAAGTCCAAATTCAAAGATCACAGCACGGGAGTAGTATGATCGAGTGGGTCACTAGTTCGTCTTTCTTTTTCACTCATGGCATGAAAGAGCAGGATAGATTTATCGTCGGCTTATTGTCACTAGTGTAAGTAGCCAATCTATTCCAAGAATTCTCTCTTCTCTGTCTGGCAGAAGGGTTTTTTCTATAAATTCAATGGGCTATGACGAACATTGTTGCGAAAAATTAAAAAAAAAGATTTACATTAAACTAGGCCTTGGACTCACGTCGATAATAGGATTTTATTTTGTATTAAATGCTGGAAATACAGTGAGTTATACCATTTCCGAATCTCAATGAAATAGGTATGTTTTTTCTTAATTTGGCACCTGAGTGACCCTGACGTAGTGTAAAAAAATATGGTCACTCAGGTGACCATATTTTTTTACACTACGTCAGGTTAAACTTAGGAAAAAAATAAGCAAAACATGAAATTTGAGTTAGGTCTTTGTTTAAAAAAAAAACTATGCATGCGCTCCAAAATCATAGTTAAACATTCGATAGTGCGTCTATCCAGGAATACCACCCAAAACACAGATTGAAAAAATTTCTTCATTTGTAGTCTTGCCAACACAAAGAGTGGCAAAGGGTGAATTTTTTTTGAATTTTCGAAAATGTCTAATTACCTCGAAAACCGGGGGGGTTGTCTATGTGCAAATAATGTAGGTATGTCCAACGCGTGGAAGCGTTTAACATACCTATAACAGCCTACAAGTGTAAGAGAAAACCCTAGTGTGAGGAAACACTTTTTTATTTAAAAAAAAATAATGAACAACTATACCTGAATGGAAAAGCATTAATTAGGGAATCTGAACGCCATCATTTAAATAAGATAATATAGATCAAATAAATTCGATAGCGAAAAAAAATTCATATGAATGCAGTGATTAATGGACGAGTGACCATTCGTCCTGTTATGAATAAGATCGTTCCTTTTTCAGTACTCCGTCCCAATATCCCAAAGGATTTGAGACGCAAAGTTAACCCGTTTTATCGCAACTGTTAGATTCAAATTTTAAATTCCGAATTCGAAATTTAAAGTAACGTTTCGGAGGAGATCAGTGGCGGCCGAAAATGAAAATGGCATTGCAGAATTAAGAATCTTTTATTTTGGTGATTCCAGTAATAAGAAAAAATTTTCTGTTCAAAATTTCTATTTCCTGTTCAAAAATATCCACCAACACACAACACCAACCAGGAAATACGGCTGATATTTAATTATTTAGCTCAAGTGTTGATAGAAAAGACAATGCAAACGTTATTTACGAGATACATCCAGGTGGGGATCGAATAATGTGTAAGCTGTCTGAAATAAAAATAATTCCTAAAAAAACACTGAGATTTTGAATAATTTTTCAAAGGAAAATGATGTGTTAAATCGATCGACAAGTTTTGCCGCGTTCAGTCAATCACAAAAAGGTTATGTTAAATATGTATACCTCATCATAGTCGGCTCGAAGCTTGTCATCTTCGCCAAGTAACTTCTCATTCTCCTTTGTAAGTCGCTCAAGCGATCTTCGTAGTGACGTCACGCGAGTGTTTCTCTCTAAATAGTACCCAACAAACTCAACTGAAAATGCCGGTGGTACATGCCATCTGCGAGATACGTCCTTTAGTGCTGCCATCTATAATAGATAATAAACAATAAAAATTTAAAACACCATAATTATTATAGCAGTAAAATTTAAGTATTGTTAAATGACACGTTTGAAATATATAGATACAAATCATATTACCTGTGCATCTTGAAATTCAAGTGCGTGGGTATCTATTCCCATACATTCCGCTTTCTTTTGGAATCTCCTCATGGCAGAAGCGCTGCTGTAGAGCATCCGCGCCATCTTTTGAGTTGGAACTGATTAAAAAAATACATTAATATTAAATTTTACTTTTTTACATCACTAAAGAATTACAAATTAAGTTCTCACCCCATGGCGGATTTCTATTTTCTTTCTGCTGTGAATATTTTCTTCGGTATTTGATCAATTTGCGTTGTATCCTGATTTTCTCTTCCGTACTGAGATTATTCTGTAGTTCCAATTTTCTAGAAACAAAAGAACAACATACATTTTAATGGTCATCTGAAGCGGACAATTTAAATATGGGGTATTGTACGACAAATTAAATATGGGTAAAAATTGAGAGAAGAGCTGTAGTAAGAAGGAAGGTAAGTGGAAAATAAGCAGTAGTCTTAATTATTTTTTTCAAAAAAGACGTTACACTCATTACTGGAAATTTTCATCCATCATATAGGCGTTATATATACATAAATATTATATGATATTTAATATATTGCACTCGGAAGAATCATTATTTCTATGCGATACAAATACTCGTTTCGTGCGGGATTTGAAACCACACCACCACAAGCATACTCTCAGCCACTGTGTACGTGTACATACCATACACGAGTTTAATTAGATTCACGAGAATTAGAGAGATTTAACTATAAATAAATAATTAACGAGAACTAATTAAATTGGTGGTGAAGTAAAACTGCCTAGAAAGTTAATAAACCTTTAAAAACTATAAACCGACTTCAAAAAATAAAAAAGAAGAAAGAAATAAGTCAGTTTAGGTTTTTTGTTTTTTGATATTTTTTATCAGATATGAGTGTAATAAGCAATAACACAACCTGGTTACCATCTAAAATATCATTTAAATATTTTCGTTTAGGGGCAAAAAACTCCATATTTAAATGAGACCTTAAGCTTAAGGAAAAAGCTATTAAATAAAAAGAATTATCAGATTCGGTTCACAATTCGGAGATATCGCGTAACATACATACAATAAAAAATCAAAATTCAGTCGAATTGAGAATTTTCTTTTTTAATGTGGGCTGAAAATTAATCTAAAAAGTTTTCTAACTTAAACACTGGCACTTAACTATTTCGGACATAGATATAAGAGTACAACTATTTAATAGGTAAATGTAATTTTAAACTATGAGATATACATTTAATGTCACAAGTTTAATTACAATATAACATTTGTGTTTATGATTAATTTATTTATTCATTAATTCATCAGAAGTCCATTGCTAGACATAGGCCTCCCTCAGAGATTAAATGCTCAATGTCATTTAATAATAATAATGAGTACTATGATAATGAACACAACAACAATAATTTAATAATAATAATGAGTACTATGATAATGAACACAACACAACAATAATTTAATAATAATAATGAACAATCAATTGCTGTCCGTTAGACTCGCTAAAACTCAAAAACAGCACGACCGGCTACGGCGTTTACGGCAGACATAAAATATCCAGACCTGCGACAGCAAACCCGCCTGGCAAGCGCCCTCCCAACAGGGGAAGCCCATATCCAGCTGTGGGCATTTACAGGCTAATAAAGAACAAAATAAAACAAATGCAACAATGAATGAGTGCAGTGTTTTTTTTATATATGAAAAGAGTGACAAACGAGCACACAGTCCACCTGATGGTAAGTGGTTGCTGCGGCCCACAGACATCTACATCTATCCTCGTTTGCTAGTCATATTGAAGATGCGCCGTCACCCTTGAAGACTAAGATGAAATGCCTCTTTTCCTACGTGTTGGTACAGTGGTGGTATTTGAATTTAAAGTAGAAAAATCCATCGACCCATTTCCTTCGTGAAAAAAAGATCAGATAGCCTCGTATAGACGGCTCTATACCATCTCGTATGTGCCCAATGTAAATTACCCCAACTGACAATGGGTAACAACCGTTTAGGAAATTTTGAAATTGCGAGTGAGAATTTTGATACTGCGATCATAAATAAAGGCGCCACCAGTGTACTACTAACAGGCTAATAAAAAAAGAAGTTAAACAATAAAATGAAAAGAAAATTTTAAACATATAACACAGCAACCTTTTTTCAGTTCTAATTTGCAAAGCGAGCCAATTCCTCTTGCGTTTTTTAACTAGCGTTTTGTCGGAGTGTAGCCGACAGTGGGCATAAAACGGGTCGGCTTGTTCCACCTCCTCAGAATGTGCTTCAGCTAATAAACCTTCACGTTGTCCACTGCATAAAAAAATTTAAAATTTTATTAGTTATATTTCTTTTTTTGTTATTAAATGGAAAAGTAAAAAAGATAGAGCTCTATTTCCTCAACAAGTCATCAGATAAATATCACTATCACTACCGTAGGAGCTGCTGTATTGAGCAAAAATATTTCCATAGGTCTTACGTGTCATAAATAATGAGAGATTTTAAGATAAAGCCGAAGTAGAATCATGTAAGACTTTTTTAACATAAAAAGTGCAATATATAAAATATTGATTTTCGTGTAATTGGATGTCATATAATACCACACCTAAATCGACATTTTATTTCATTTATTATCATCATCATCATTACAGCCCTTCACAAGTCTACTGCTGAACATAGTCCTCCCCGAAGAAATGCCACAAAGCACAGTCCTGAGCCACCTGCATATATAGACTCCCTGCATATCTTACAAGGTCGTCACTCCATCTAGCGGAGAGCCGCCCTACACTTCTACCAGTACGAGGTTCCCACTCGAGAACCTTTTCTCCCCATCGATTGTCGGTTCTTCGAGCTATTCATTGTCACTTAGTCTTATTAATCCATTATATTTCATTTATAGTATAGTATTATCTTCAGCAAAAATGCGAGCTCTATAATCTTTCCACCGCTGTTTACAACTTTTGCAGTAATACATTTTCACTAGAGGCTACATCTCAACCCAGTAATGAGTACTGGACCATTATAGTTATGATTCACAAAATAATTTGCAGAATTGAGATAAACAAAAATATCTCACAATGATCAAATTAATTACACTGTAACAATCATACCTATTTATATAAAAATGCATAAACGCATTATAAGTATAATCTCATCCATAGCTATCTACAGTTAATCAGTAGGCTAAAAATTCTCATTTATATTTTAATTCTCATTTATATTTGATGCGACCTGGGGACCTTTAAGAGCTTACTGCTTTCTAAAGGGCCGGCAACGCACCTGCATTTCCCCTGCTGTTGCGGTTGATCATGGGCGGCGGTAGTCACTTAACATCAGGTGAACAGTATGCTCGTTTGCCCCCTCTTCTATAAAATAATAATTCAATAACCTATTTACTTCCATTACCATTACAGTCTACAAAAATCCACCGCTGAACATAGGCCTCCCCCATAGATTGCCTCATAGGAGGGATTCCATAGTTGACACGCAAGTAAGTCAAGCGCGGTGTTTTTTATTATTTTAAGGTATTATCAGAAAGATTCTGCTGCGCATTACCTGTTTCAATTTACCTCTGTCGCCTCTTACAATATCTACAGGACAATAATATGGGGTAGTAGATATTCTTACACCGCCACTACACGGCACTTTACTTAAAGTTAAAAAGTTAAATTTACATCCTATATACGTCATACTGCTGGGCACAGGCCTCCCCTCATTTCTGAGAGGGTTTTAGGCCAAGGAAGTGTCCGCCGCGCTGCCCCAATGCGTGTTGGCGAACTTCACACGTCTTCGAATTTTTTTTCTTATTTCTCAGACATGCAGGTTTCCTCGCGATGTTTTCCTTCACCGCCGAGCACGTGGTAAATCAGCACTTAAAATTGCAATTAACAATTTCATTTGTGCCGGCGGGGATCAAACCCGGTTTACTCGCGTACTGTGAAATTTACAGCGAGCGCTAACTATCTGAGCTACAACGGCTCGGCACTTTACTTACTTAAACATAATTACAATAAATAAACAAATTTACCAAGTAACATGGAAAAATGTTTTGCATAGTCCTGCATCACATCCCACACAAACACCAGTGCGTGCTAATGTCGCATCCTCGCACAAAGCGCACGACCGCGCGCCCCAACGCGAGTATGCCATCTCAAACAAAGTCACACCAGAAAGACGCTCCACCTAAAATATATGAAATTATAAAATGTAACCCTCGCCCTATTTTGTCCCAGGAATGTCATAAGAGTCAATTTAAAAAAGCTTTTGTCTATTATTGCCAAAAAATTATTGAAAACGATATGTAAGTATTATTTCCTCTTACAGATAGCAAAACGCAAATTAAATAACCAGACAGGCAATAACTAATGTGCCATCTAAACATGTTGATTGTTGCTAATTAGATAAAGAAACTTAAGAGGTTGATAAGTGAAGAACTCTAGAAATGGAGTGTGCCCGCTATACATTATGCACGCTCTGCTTGCATTGCTTCAATAATATTAAACCTTAAATAATAGTAGATCGTAATAAATTCTAGTAAATAAATTAATTATACAAAAATAAAAATTTATAAAATATTCTACCTCAGAAAAAGCCACCCCAGGAACATAAAGAGCACATACAAGATGCACCCAAGCACCTACTTCCGTTTCCTTAAAGATACCACCTTAAAGAAAAATAATAAAATTACAAGAATAGTACTTATAACAACACAATCTAAAAATATAACATTTCTATACATATAAATAAAGTGTCTGTCTGTAATATTGAAATAACTATCTTTTATAGAACTGGGGAAGAATGAATGGGGATATTTGCCATAGATGACACTTCTGAGGTGGGTTGGCAATGGCAGTTTTTATTGTTTTGAGTTGTTATCAGGTAGCTTTCTATCTCTTGTTTCAGTTTCCTTCTGTCGCCTTTTACGACACCCACGCGATGATACAGGGTAGTGGATTTTCTAACTCTCTAATTAATAATAACAAAAATATATATTTTTTGTTATTATTAATTTAACTTAGGCAATGTATTAAAATTTTATATGTAAGTTAAGAATGTAATGTAATAATCAATCTTGCTTTACCAAACAAATGAAAATAACCTTTGTTAGGACACAATTCACAGTTAGGATCCTTAACTCCAGCTTTGCAAGCTTCACAAAACCATGGTTCAGTCGAAGCTGAACTAATTGTACTAGACTCACTTGTCACATCAGAAACTCCATAGCAACCTGTCAATAAGAAAACATGTTTGTTGTAAAAACATTAAACAAAATTGTTTTTAATATTTAAAAATACACTGACCTTCATGTACAGTAACACCGCAACCATCACACTCCACAATCTCATTAAAATCATCACTTCTAGAACCTAAACAACCAGCGCAGATTAAGACATTGGCTAAGTCACCTGGAAACTAAAAAAGAAAAAAATTAATAACTTATACACACAACTTATCAAACAATAATAACAGTATTTGGACATGAACTAAATGGTTTAAATACTTTTTCAGACCCATGTAAGATAGAGTTTTACCATAAAATAAAACTTACCCATTATTTTTTAATTAATATCCGGAATCCATCTTGAGTCAAGCACTTGTCTTTCCGCCTAAAGTCAGCACTTCCGGCTACCTTACCTGCATGGAGGGGGCACCTCACCACTGTTTGTGCTTTGTTATTTAAGTAGTGATGAGCACCACGTCTCGTCATTATGGTACTCAGGATGCACCAGGTAGCCCTTACCTGGATTCCAGATATTGATTAAAAAATAATAGGTAAGTTTTATTTTACGGTAAAACTCTCTATTATTTGTTATGTATCAATATCCGGAATCCATCTTGAGTTATGTGTTTGTTATCACCTGGTGCTAATAAATTACGATAGTTATTAACGCTATAATGTGTAAGGTAAACAATAAGAGTTATTTGCAAGAGATACACAGCAACAAACATTATATTATTATACCACAATTGCATCATTTGATTATAACCGGCAATCATGACAATAAGTTTTGCTTTTGTTAATTACAATAATAAATCAAACCAATATAATATTTGCTCTATCAATCAATTAACGGCATCAAAATAATTTGATAAAGATAAGAAAGAAGACAGAATTATTTGCTGCAATTTCCTTTAGTTCTTTTTTATAGTAATTTTGAAATATGTGCACAGTTTTCCAATTACCCGTCGCAAGGATTTTATCTAGGGAAAAATTTTCTAACCAATTTAAAGAAGATAGTGCTGATCTTACTGAACCAGGAGTAGCTTCAATACCCGCCTCTCTCAAAAGCGATTTTACCCACCGAGCAATTACAGTACGGGATGCTGGCTTAGAGTCACCTCTAGCTGTAATAAATAAATGATTTATAGCCTTTCTGCGATTTTTAGATATCTTTAATAATTGTCTTATCCAGAAAATAATATTCAAATTTTTATCAGGATGTTCTTTAAGCCTCCAACCAGACTGTCTATGATTAATGCTGTCCGTTTTGGAACCAAAAGCTGGCCATAAGATTATGCTACTTTGTTCGTCTATTAAGCTGTTATTGTCAATATGCAACAAAGTGAGGTCTTGAACTCTCCGACTAGAAGCCAAAAGTAATAATGTAGCTGTATGCCTAGATACTTCATACAGATTGTTTTCATTTAAATTATATTTACTTATATACTGCATAAGAAACTTAGGATTCCAAATTGGTGGCTTTACTGGTTTGGTACGGGCCATAGATATTGCTTTTAACATGTGTTTTATAAAGAAATTTGAAGATAAATCTACTTTTGAAGTTAAGTGAGTGAATGTTGAAATCACAGATTTATGTTTTAAAATTGTTCTGTAAGCAAGACCTATATCACAATGTAAATGTGCTAGATAACGTGCTACTTGTTCTGGGTTAGGATATTTATAATTAACCGAATTAGACTCGCACCATTTTTTCCATCTATTCCAAGCTGGTTTATATGTGTTGATCGTAGAGCCTCGCCAACTTGATATTAACAAGTTCTGTTCTTTATCCGTCCATTTCTGTTAACATATCTTGCCACCCAAAATCAGCCATGCTTCCAAGAGCAAGTCTTGAATCTATGGGTGGTGTATGCCTGTTCTCATGTCTACTAGAGTATGGACTAGATCTGGAATTCGATATGGGGGGTGTAGAGCTCGGCGTTGAACATCTGCTTGCCAAAACACCTTGTTCCATTTCGGTCCAATTAATATGTATATTCCGCTGGCTTGATTTAACTGGTTTAGGACTCTGGAATAAGATTGGGTGGTGGGAATAACCACGCTAGTTTGTAATGCCACTGGCGACAAAATTCGTTGTGATGTTGTGCTTGCTTGTCCTGAATGTTCATTGAAACATACTTCGGGGTCACGTGAGCAGTACTTGACGCAAATAGGTCTATCTCCGGTGTGCCCTACATTCGAAATATTTTTGATGTCGCCGCTAATGTGAGGTGCCACTCGGGGCAAGCCTTTTGGCGTGATAAAGCGTCCACTTAGACATTGAATCTGCCTGGAAAGTACTGGGCCTGAAGGTGTATATTGAATTTGTCTAGAAGTGCAAGGAGTTGTAGAGTTTGCTCGAGAAGCTTTTTGGACTCGCTTCCGCCTTCGTTGTTTATATAAGACACCACTGTTCGATTATCTGTCTGAAGAAGCACTTGGGAGTTCTGTAGCAGATTTCGTTCGTGTGATATCGCTGCATGAACTGCAAACATTTCTTTTCTGTTAGCTTGCCAGGTTAGTTGCCGGTTCATCCAGGTCCCCCCGGTACTTATATCGCCGAGTTGAGCGCCCCAGCAGATATCTGAAGCATCGGTTGTTAGAAGGTGAGTTACTACTGCATTCATGTGTATCGGTACAGATTGACCTAGAGCTTGTAGCCACCACTCCATCTCGGATTGAACTGGTAGTAGAATACTCACTTGGCGGTAAGGGTGGTCCTTTGACAACTGTCGACTGAAGTATTGCAGTGTTCGCCAGTGAAGCCGACCTCTCCGGGTTACGTAAGTGAAAAACTGAGTCTCCCCATTAAGATCCGATACTGTTTGAGGGACCACTTGCCTTTTAAGAGCTGTTGCTCAAGTGCGTTGCGTAGCGTTAAGCACTTTTTCTCCGATAAGGACTTCGCATTGAGTTTTGTGTCCCATGTTATGCCGAGAAACTCGAGGCACTGCGTCGGAATCAGCATGGACTTTACGTAATTTATTGTCCAACCTAGTAACTGAATGATCTTTATCATTAATGATATATCTTCTTGTAGTTGTTGCATCGACTGGCTTGCCAATAGAAAATCTTCCAAATAAACTACACATCTGATGCCCCGATTCCTGAGAAACTCTGCTACCCAGTGTGTTATTGAGGCAAACGTTCTCGGTGCAGAGGAAAGGCCAAACGGTAAGCAGGTCATCTGGAGCAGTTGGTGCTGGTTTGAATTGATGTGATAATTTAGTCGTCAAGTATCTTCGATGACGCCGAGCAATCGGAACATGAAAGTAGGCTTGGCTTAGGTCTAATTTTGCCATCCAATCCTGATGCTGCAGGAAGGTGGGTACTCGAAAGTGACTGAACAAACTGAATGGTTTCGTTTTGATGAACTTGTTCAGTTGTTTCAAATTGAATATTGGACGGAAGCTGCCGTCCGGTTTTGGCACCAAAAAGAATGTTGAAAGGAAACTGACACTCGGCTCCGCCTGTAAAAGTACTTTAACATACTTTGAATTTGGAGAGTCATATTTAAGGAAGTTTTGGTCCTGTAGCTCTGAATCACAATTTGATTTGGAAGTATTAGAGGCGGCTTGAGTATGAATGGAATGTAAGAGCCGCTTAATAGTCTGCATATTTCTTGCAGCGCGCCTAAATTTTCCAAACACTTTGAAATTGTTTCAGGCAGCCGCCATGAAATTTTTGAGTCATTTACGACGTTCATCTTTAAAGGAAGAATGCAATTGAGATTTCTTTACTACCTTTGTAATTTTGGTTTTTTCTGTGTATACTGCTCACTGTAACTATATTGGTGGTAATGAATAAATGTTTATTATTATTATTATTATTATTATAGATTTCTTTTCTCTTTGTTTATTTTTGCCCGATTTGTCTTGATTCGCTTGGTTGGATGGGCGTGGTGCAAGTTTTCCTCTTTTCGAAATGAATGGCACCGTCGTTGAACAGAGTTTCTACGTTAGGAGGGATTTTTTGCAAAACCTCGCGATGATATTGTTCAGGAATCTGTCGCAGTAGTGAACCTCTGTGTAAGATAACAAGATCCGCTCGTCTACCACACACTATTTGAAACAAATCTTCAGTTACTTTGCTATAAGGTGAGTCCTTAGAAAATAAAGTCTCTATTTTATCAAATAGATGTATTTGCAGTCAATGTCTGTTGAGAATCACTGGCCCAATCTACTAGCGCTTGTAATGCTCTTTGTAATTCCTCTTTTTGGCAAAGTAAGGCATTAGTTAATCCAGCAAAGGAACGTTCTAGCAAATAAAAACGAGGATCATCACTCAACATTGCAGATTCATACCGTTTTAGCGAATCATTTACAGCAAGTTCGACAAAACCGGGGTAGATAAATATTTCTTCTGGGCATTGATAAACCATACAGCATACCAATCATCACGATTAAAACTCTGTAATTCTACTAATTTCTTTAAATGTATTTCATTTGCACGTGGATAAATGGGATCTTTTACAGTGCTACACAAATCTGATAGCTTGAGCTGGTGCATTTTGTCACCGCCTTCTGTTGTAGGTCGGTACAAGTTAAGATTAAGTGAAGGGACTATTTTTTGATTTTGGCATGTAACTTCACTAGCTTTTGTAATAATATTAGTTAAAAAGGCCACTTGCTAGGATAAAAAATCAAAATGTTCATTACTCACGGTTTGATCCCTTTTTGTTTTCTTGTGTCTCCTTGGTTGACTGCAAACACTGTTTTCTGACGAATCACTGCTATCCGAACTCGATGAATTACGCACACGTTTTTGAGAATTTAATAATGTAACTTCGTCGACATTTTGTTCCTCCACATTTTATCAGTAGGGTAGTTATTTATCACTTACTTTTAGTAAAATTGAAACTTTTTCGTGCTTACAAAGGCTAACTTGTGAAAGGCGCGAAAAACAACGCTATAATGACGAGACCTGGTGCTCATCACTATTTAAATAACAAAGCAAAAACAGTGGGGAGGTGCCCCCTCCGTGCAGGTAAGGTAGCCGGAAGTGCTGACTTTATGCGGAAAGACAAGTGCTTGACTCAAGATGGATTTCGGATATTGATACATAACAAATAATAGTAATATCAACTGTTTCTAAATTCTAGAAAAATATTAAAATAAACCTAACTTTATATATATATATATTGTTCGACTATAAGTTTAATTCTCACAAATGCCAGGATTACAAATAAGGTTTAAAATTTTGTACAACGGACTTCAACATAAATAAAATGAGAACATCATCAGTTAAAGATAACTCAAAAACTACTGTTCAGATCTGGATCAAATTTATATGGGACCACATGAGAAGCACCAGCTTTCAAATAACTAAAATCATCAACATTGGATCACCTGGAAAAAGGTTCTGAGGTAACAGACATTTCAAAAAAATACAGTTGAATTCAGAACCTCCTCTTTTTTTGCAGGCAGTTGAATACAATTTAATATTTAAAAGACTATCTATTATGTAATTAATTATTATAGAAAATCAGTCTTTGGAGTTTTATGATTACATAATGAAGCTAAACTAACAATCACTAGCAGAGTTAACAATTAGAAGCTTAAGGTGATAAATAATAGCAGCAAAATAATTGATGAAATAGCCATGTCATTTATGCCAGTTGTAAAATACCCATGACTGCCTTTTTGGTTAATTGTCAAGAAATTCTCAGTAGTTGCCCAGAGTCAGGAAGTTGGCGGTATTTCACCCCCGTGCCTCGGAAAGCACGTAAAGTTGTTGGTCCTGTGCTTACTTTGCGTAAAAAACTTTAATATTAAAGATGTTACAAATAATTAGATGATGATGGGCAAAACATGTCATATTATTGATAAAGGTGTATCTTTCCTAGTGTAGTGGTGTAGAAGGACAGAAGAGAGGTGCTCTCCTAACTAGGTAAGACACATCATTTTAATTTTAAAATGCAGACTGATGAGGGGAAGCAATGTCAAAAGTTGACTGCAATATCAAACCACCTAAAGGGTCTAGCAGTGAACTTATACACCCTGGTGACTTAATCACATTTGTTTGAATCTTCTCTTACTTAAGACAAAAAAGAAGTAGGAAATTAAGTGCATAAAAAACCTTGAATTCCTTTTGCTTGGCTTTTTGAAGTAGGTCCGTAACGCACATCTCGTCCCCAAGTTTATTAGCAGAGTTTTTGAAGTTGTTTTCAATATCTGAGCCTGACTGATCATCTGAACTAGCACTCTTTTCATCTTCTTCTGAAATTATATTAAAAACATGCAAGATTGTTAGGTTCTGTATGTTATCAGTTAAGCTATAATCATAAATCTTAAATAATAAAAGTAACTTATGTGACTATCTATAAAATACGAAAACAAAAGGTAACATCCTGCACAAGATTTTTAAAAACAAATACTTTTCATATAATATAAAAAGTTATTTCCCTTTCAAAAATATTTTCAAATGCATTATTAAGTTAAATCTCAGATGGGGAGGGATGGTTGGTAGGTATAAACCACCCTGTTAAGGAGGGTTGCAGCAGAACCATAAAGTTCTTGAGAAATAAATAAAACATATTTATTACACACTGGTAGGTATTCTGTTGCGTCAAGAGTAAGGAAAGTGTAGGAAGTGGAAGGTAAGCTCCCTGTGATGCTACACCTTGACCTACTGCTGCTGATATAACTTGACAGATGCTTTCATCATTTGTAACAAAGTTAACAAAAGTCTACTACTTTATTATTCAGGCTTAACTACATCTAGTTTTAGCAAAAAGCAAATAACTGCATGTACTTTTGCAAGTAATCACCTGTGTCTTGGAGTATTAGATCCTTCATAAAGATAATAACATAATGGAAATGGAAATGAGACATACCTATTGATTACATTAAAGAATATTGTATTGTATTGTAATTAAGATTTATGTGTGCATTTAATATAATGGAGCGAACTAAAAAAAAACTATATTTTATTAAATTTTTTACATTATTTGACTAGCCTATATACAAAAAAAATTATTCGGTCTTTTATATTTTGTATTGATTAAAACTCCTCAATCAAGCGACAGTAGCCTAATGGCAGGGTGCGGACCGCGAACTCAAAAAGGTTGTGGGTTTGAACCAGCCATTCAGCTACTGGCTTGAACCACTCGTAACACAAACAATTTAAGCTTACCACGAGTAGTTAAGGGGAATAAAGATGCCCATTTTTCACCTGACTATATATAGAAATAAAATAAACCTTGAAATTCAACCAATTAAATTGTAAATTAATTACACCTATCACAATGTTAAAAGAAAATCAGGAAAAAATATTTTCTAATATTTCCTTAAGGTTATTCTACATCATGGTTAAACATATTACCATATTTTGAAGGCATCTCAACTAACCTTTTTCTAGGACATTCCATTTTACACACTGCTACTTTACTTCGTTCAACTCTGTTTCTGAGATTTATATGATCCACTTTAACATAGTTTTATTTGTTTTTCCCATTTTGTTCATCAGGTATGTATGTACCATAGATCAATGAAATGTGTTTGGTTGATAAGTGATCACTTTTGACAATACAAGAACTAAGATAGACTCTTTAGAGACATAGAAACTATCTACCGTTTTTTTACAAAAAATGTAGTTAGTAAGTACTTATGTGTGCTGGAGAAACAGCAGATAGTGCTTGACACTCAATTTGTAGTGACAATCATCGAGAGTAAACAGTGTTTTAGGGGCAGTTGGTTTAAAGCAGAGTTCCCCAAACTTTTTTGTGTCGTAGACCCCTTGCCATGTTTTTCCATGTTGGGTAGACCCCCTACTTACCTGATATTGATTTCCTGTAAATTTCTAACTGTAGTGAAGTTTAGTGTTAAAAACTTAAACTATAACACTGACTATAATTTGTGTGATATACTATCTGTTTATATTTTTTAAAATATTTTCTTAGCACTTTCCTTTTCAAGATTCAGGAAACGAATAAACGTATTTGACCCACATTCGTATTTATAAGAGTGACGAATTGAACAAGTCAGTGCAAGGTAGCGAAGCTCTGAGACTGCGACTCTCAGGTTTTTACAAGTTCAAAATGTATTGCGACCACAAAGCGCATACCAACATCCTACAACTTACACAATTTTATAAACATATATAATAAATTTTTTACTTCATAGGTACTTTTATAAATAATGTATATGTTTTGATATTATAAGATAGTATGATGTAAGTAAATAGGTACTATCAGTGTATGTGTTGAGATCCACTATCGTGGACCCCCATTTTCATTTCATGGACCCCCAAATTTTTTTCCCTGACGTAGACCCCTTGCAGGTTGTCATAGACCCCTAGGGGTCGATATAGACCACTTTGGGAATCACTGGTTTAAAGGAATTAACAAAGCAAAAAAGATGTTTTAGACCATAGCTAGGCAGGTACTCCTATCTAAACTTTGAGCGTTAATAATAAGTTCTAGCTCATTTAATTCTTCATTACCTATTCGGTAATGGCAAACACTAAACTAAATAGTAACATTAATATTTTTTGGTCTTTGTAGCGTTTAAATCATAAAACAGGTAGTTTTTCTACTATACCTTATAACTATACATAAACTTTCACTATCAGGTTTTTAAATTATGTAAAGTGGGCATGATTCTTTAAAAAATAAATAAAACTAACTTTAAATATAAAAATTAAGTGTTACATTGTTCGTCCCCAATGAACTAAACTACTGAACTGATTTCAATGAAATTTTGTAAATGTGTATGGCGTGCCCCAATTGAGAGATAGGATAGTTTTTATCCTGATAAGTGACCCCCAATATTTTATTTGCGAATCTAAGGATTTTTTAAGACAAAGGATTATGGGAACAGGCAGAACTACATCTGCGAGGCCAGCTAGTAGCTTATATAAGTTTTGTTATAGGTCAAAGTTCCTTATAAACTTCATCTTAATGTGAGTAATGGTTAATTTGACATACTACTCTAATATTAAATTGGCTAATTTTATTTTTACTGGAAACTAATTTTACTTCATATAATTTTCCTATGTTTTAGTGGTAGAATGGTGACTTTACACAACTTGTTATTTAATATAAATTTACTTAGTTCAGAGTATACTGTACTCACATATATAAATCATACATAATTATATTATTCTTTTTAAATATACATTAAAATTTTACTCGGTTTTATAACAGAAACTTACTTTTGTCATCATCATCACTGTTGATAGAATAATCATCACTTTCTTCCGGATGATCCTCAATACGGAAATCTGAATCATCTGAGCTCTCACCTTCGCCTAAATCAAAATCTAATAACGATTGAGGTTCGACAGGCTTTACCTTCCGCTTCGCTGGGCCTCTACCTGCTGCAGTAAAAACATTTTTTTGAAAAATATCAATAACTTCACTACAATAACAAAAAGATAACAAATAAACAGAAACAAAAATGCTGCAGATTTTAGCCATGGAAAAAATCGTTAATATTTATTAAAAAAAACTTACAATTACTCATGGTACATATATTGTATACACACTAATCAATTCACTACACTTTCTGCTGAAACATAAAAATAATTGGGCACTGAAATAAATTAGTTATCTGAATTCATCATTTTATTTTAATTGTTAGTTAAGCGGCTTGTATTTTAACAGCATTTTATTATATTTTATATATAATTTTTTTTTCTCCCCGATGTCAACGACAATGACGGCTGGCAATTAGGCATGAGACCGATATATCCAAACGTAACTAATAACGTTATGTTATCAAAATATCATATCATATCGATACACCCAAATACATAACCGTTATCACTTTCCAACCAAAACCAAGAGACCAAAATGTACGAAAGTTACGAAACGTAAAACGCAAACTGGAACGATAACGATATAATGATATTCGTTGTTTCTCAACGGTGTTATAAATACATGTAGAAAGAGATGAAGCGAATACGGAATTCGTTGCGACGGTTTGATAGTTTTCACAGACGGTGCAAAATTGACACAGTGAATATAATTACCTAAAGTAATACTAATAAGGTCAAATTTTAAATGGTTAAAATTGCCTAATTTTTAAGTAAACGCAACAATTACGCACTTGGCCTTGGTGGCGCATGTCGTTCGCTAAGCTAATAATATCTATAAAATTCGTAATTTTTTGACGTTGAGTTTGTGCATTTATTTGCAATATTTGTGTGCATTTTGTACATTAGTTTTAATTCGAGTAATTATGTGTAAAGTGAAAATATAGTTTAGTATAGTTTAAGTTAATTTAGTTTTTATAATATATATGTATATAATTTATTGTACCGTGTAGTAACGATGTAAGAATATTCACTACCACATATCATCCCGTGGCTGTCATAAAAAGCGACAGAAGGAAAAAATCAGTAGATAGGCAGCAACGTCTTCCTAATAAAAACTAAAAACAGTGTGTATTGAGAAGACACACGACAGAAATACAGAAATGAAACTTTTGTATTAGTACAGCTACACTTTTCAATTATTCATCAATGACTTTTGAATAGGATAGATTGTGTAAATCATTAATTTATTTTCATAAAATTATATACATATGTGTTACAGTGCATCATCTTCTTCAATCTTAAGAAAAGATATTGTCGGTTTAGTTTGTTAATTGGGTAATTGTCTATTAATGATTTCTTAAATTTGCGCGAACACTATACATTGAATAAAACTAAATTTACGGATTCTATCGCGTTTATTTAACTGATTTTACTTATTTTTATTCCCGACGTTTCGGATGCTTTACAGCAACCATGGTCACGGGAGGGACTGAGATGTTTGACGTCCCAATGCCCGTTCAGTTTTTGAATATTAATTTTTGGTCCGATTTACGCAAAACGAACTTACAGTATGTTGAAGTCTTGCAGTGGTATGCTTGGGTTTGGGTTTAATGTTAATTATAGGATCCCAAGCAGATGGCAGCACCCAACCATGTTTTCTGTTAAAATTAGGATGTTTTCTAATTTCAATAGCCTCGCGTATCATCCTTGGTAGGAATCGGTGTTCTTTTGCGAGGATTTGTGGTTTATCAAATCTGATATAATGGTGGGGACGATCTTGAACATGTTCACAGACTGCAGACTTCCCGGAGCGTCGGTGCTTCACGTCAGCTAAATTTTCTTCGTCTTCGAAACGTCGGGAATTAAAAATAAGTAAAATCAGTTAAATAAACGCGATGGAATCCGTAAATTTAGTTTATTCAATAATTGTCTATTATTTATTTAATATTTATTTAATTAAACCACGGTTTTATATTATGTCAACAAAAATTTATTAAAATGAAAATTTACAAATTATTATTTTACACAAAATAAATTATAAAATTTATTAAAACATTTATTTTTGTTCGATAAAATGACTTTACTTATAGAATGTAGTAGATGGCGCTATTATTGAAATGCGCTCACTCTTTCTAAAATAAATACGTGTACCTTGGTAACTGTCTTAAATAAAATAAATATATATACGATTAGTATATGAACGAAAGACCGTTGTGATCTTGTAATTGTAATTATATTACTATATACTTTATGGTATGTAATCGCTTGCGTTCGCGATTTGAATGATCATTATTTATGGAATGATCGACCGAATGACCCAGTACGTTCCCCCACCACTTTTCGTCACTCAAAAAGATTACGGATCAGAATTTCAAAGCCCTCCCGTAAAAAGTTTAACTTCAAAAAACTGCGGTTAGTAACCCGCTTGCCAAGCGGGGCAACTATGGCAAATATCCACCTATGCAATCTATGGGGGGACTATATGTTCAGCAGTGGACTTTAATAAACTGTAACGGTAACTGTATAATTTATTACTGCATAACAATTAATTTACAGAAATTATATATTAACATACATGTCTAAATATTACATCTAAAATATGTTATTTTAGAACCACAGACTTCAAAACTAGAGTAATCTACGTAATTCATAAAATAAATATTGCACTGGTTCTAGTTTGCGGTTATGTTCGGGTTGTCGTTCGCACATTCAGTAGGAAACCGTTACTACTGATATCGATATCTGAAAACGGTTTTCAATAACGATATTAAAACTAAATATCGGTTATGTACCGGGAATTCCGTCCGTGAAGCTTGTTACAAGCAGTTGTGTACTTCGCTGTTCCATTATTTGCAATATTTTTAACATTTGAATATCGAAACTATTGCAATATCTATAAGTAACAATTTTGTGTGACTAGTGCACCAAGTGGTTTAAATCGTGTTTGACTGTCTCACTTGCGTCGTGACTAACACCCGTATTTATAAACAAGTAAAAGTAATTACTTGAGTAAAAGTATTTACTTAAGTAACGATTTGTATTCGATAGTTAAGTAATTGCTCCAAGTTAGAACTGTCAAAAGTTAGAATACTCAGTCAAGTAATAGTCACCATTTCCTTTACTTAAGCACTACTTTAAGGTTATTTTGAAAACTTTGGATAGCATTGGAACGGTTTTTGCTGTTGTACACAATATATATATGATAATATTATATTAGAGGAGATAGAATTTGTTTTTTTTAATTATTTAAAAATATCCTGATGGAAACAAATATGACACTTGACGGATTGTAAGAACTGACTAATCTTCTTCGGCGGCTTGTAGAATGTTGTAATAGAAGCGCGCTTCAAGATGTAGACAATCTTGTCTGTGACACCTCTGACATATGGTAGTATAGCAGCCACACGCTCGACTGTGGCCGGCTTCACTCGGTCACTGCGACAGAGTCTATAACCTGTCAAAACATACTCTGGACGACGCCACATTAAAAGTTTTAGGAAGAGGTTTTAATTATGCAATTACACCGCGAAGAATCCCGTATGAAGACATTATCTGTAGTGTTGAGGATTGTCTGTATAAAAATAATATTGGTAATGAAGATTTAGAGGCCATACGCCAAGACATTTCGTCTATGTTACGTCGAAGTACAGAGCCGAAATTTAATCTTCCCAAAAATGAATTTAACGCGTTAAAAACCTTACGCAACAGACCAGAGCTTACGATTCTCCGCGCAGATAAAGGAAATGCTACGGTTGTAATGGATACGTCGGATTACAATTTTAAAATACAACAACTTTTATCGGATGAAAGTACATACCGTAAGGTCAAAACAGACCCTACAACTAATACGCTTAAAAAAACTAGCGATCTAATTAAGAAATACTCCGAGAAATTGAATCTAGACGTCAATTCGATGATACCTTCGTGTGCAAAACCTCCCAAGTTGTATGGGTTACCAAAAATACACAAACCTAACGCTCCATTACGTCCAATAGTGAGTCAAATCGATTCGCCAACGTACAGATTGGCTCAACACTTAGCCAAAATATTATCACCACTCAGAGGACACACAAGAGCACATAATAAGTGTACGGTGCAACACCGTGCATTCTCCCGCGTCAGCATTTTAGTAATTTGACACTATGCGCGACTGACCTCATTCATTAATATTTTATTTTGGAGTGTGTTTGTGTTTGCCTACCAATACGGTCGCATGCCTCAATCTTATATTTTTACCAAGTTTCGTGTATTGTGAAATCGCAATAAATCATTGTTTTTCTCAAGATCGTGTTTAAATCATTCATCATCAGATCAAGTAAAAGGTGTGTGGTATACCAAGACCAAACATCTTTATGGTCCTTCGAGGAAACTGATCAGTGTTTTGTGGATCTCAAGTGCAGTGCGATCGGTTCGGTTGGCCTCCCACCAGCCGAATTGAGACAGCGCTCTACGTTTTTTTTTTTTTTTTTTTTTTTTTTTTTGCGCCCGAAGCAATTAAAGGGCTACCCTATACGTAGGGAGGCGGAAAATGCATTACGCATACCACGATAGCCGGTCTATCGTGGTTATGAGGGGCTCACTGTCCTACCGGGGACCCTAAGTGATACCCTCTAAAAACCGCCTTTGGGGACAGGCAACCGGCTGATTAAGCTCTATTGTGCCTTATCATGAGCGACCCTCTTTTGGGAAAAGAGGGCGCAGGCGGCTAAGTGCCGCTGAGGGAGTGCCTACGAAGGCAAGTTAATGTTAGATATTACAATAATTTTATTTAATTAGAGTTGGCCTGAGCTGCCAGGAGACAGTTCAGGTCGTTTGAAAGTTTATTAGGCGGGTCCGAGAGAGAGTTTCTCGGCCTGCGGACACGATAGCGAGAGGGGGGTGGGGCTGCATAAGAAGCTGCCTCACGAATTAAGTGGTTTGGGTGCGACTCTGAGGCTTTGAAGAAGTTCTCAGAGAGTTTTTTAAGAAATTGCTGAATTGTTGGGAGCTCTAAGTCCCGATGAAGGTCGGCATTGCGGACGTACCACGGTGCGTTCGCAGCTCGACGACAGAATAGGTTCTGAACTATTTGGAGTTCATTTAAAATGTTAGGGTTTGCGTGGGCAAAGACGGGGCCCGCGTAGGACATGACTGGTCGTATACATACCTTGTAGAGTGTACGCTTGTTTCGAAGGGACATTTTACTGTGTCGGCCCAACATACTGTT